TTTTTTTTTTTTTTTTTAAGTTAGCGATCTTCAACTTTTGAACATAACTCCTTCAAGTAGGAGTTTCAGAGTGACTGAATTGACTGTTCAGGTTGTACCTTTCACTTGCCCTTAATCTACTCGACCCCCCCGTTTAGAAAGTTAGGCTAAGTGACCTTGAATATTGTATTTGCAATGCACTTTTTCTTCCCTCTCCAAATCTCTTCTCAGGAAATGACCCATTCCTGGCCGCCTCCTTTGACAGCAATACACACGCCTAGCACAGTGGAGCCCTCCAAATTTCCTTTCCCCACCAAGGTAACCCTCAACAGCAGGCCCAGTGTCTCCATGAGTGACGTGTGAAGTGTTGTACTTTATTCTGCAGTGTATGGGAGTAAGGGTCTTGGATTTGGATAGTCAGGATTCACAGTTTATGGAAGCCTTCTGGACTTTGCAGTGCATTGTTTCATGGAGGGCGCTTCCTGTGAAGACAGGAAACAGTTCTGGGAGAATGGAGTGAGGGCGATGGTCTGATTCCTAGTTTTACGTGTGCACACACACGTTACATGTCTCCTATTTCCTAAATTTTCTTGAAGGTTAATGTGATCGGCTATATTAGTAGTAAATGAACTGCTGAAGAAGGCATTTCTGTAACAGCATTTGTGAACAGCGGATACAACAGCCATCTTTTCTTGGCTTGGACTTTTGAATAACCTTCAGGAGGTAGCCATAGCACGGTCCAGCCTGGGTCCTGTCCACCTGCTATTTGTGCACATGCCTTCATAGCTATTGTTCTCCGTGATTCTGTTCCAAAGGCAATTAGTGCCTAAAAACCCAAATTCACCACATCAGCTATTTTACTCCTTTCACAGTAAGACTTTTGTAAGGAGAGTCATTATTACTGGTTTTAAAATAAAGCCGGAAACTCTGTAAAAATGTCTTATCCTCAAGACCAAAGAAAAAATAAACTCCAGGAAAAAAATATAAGCAATAAAAGCTACTTTTTATAAAAATTAGGTTAGTCAGTATTTTAAAACTATTCATGAAGATTCGTTAAGATTGATGGAAAGATAGTATGAGGGTCTTAGAGTGAAATATATAATCACGTGGTGGGTAATATAAGTGTTCTCTATTTCTCTTTTTCTATAACTTTAAGAGTTTTTCATAAGACTATCCTTTTAATATTAAAAGCTACAGTTTTGTCTTCAGATTTATAACCCTACTATTTAATAATCCATAATATTTTAATAAGTGGAGTTGTTTTTTTCTTTCCCTAGGATTCTCAGCACATTAGTTCTGCAGCCCAAAACCCAAGTAAGTAAATGTCTGGAATTGTTTATTGCACTGGAGAAGAACACATGCTGTTTAGTGGTTTTAATATAACAACATTAGTAGCAAATACCCCAACAGAGGTGAGGCTTTCCTAGATTGAGAGAAAAAAGGATCAGAACCATTAAACTGCTCTTTAGGTGGAATTTAAGAGCGTTGCAAGGAGCTATGGTATTGAAGATGTTGTAGTAATATCCTAAACAAGTATAAGTTGGTGCTGCATGAGTTGAGATTATTCTCGAATGTGAATGTCAAAGGGTTGTACTCCAGGAATTGTGTACAGTAGGGATATATTGCTGCATTGGGTTGAGGTGACTTGTGTGATTCTTGTGTTTTTTAAACAAACAGATTTTTATAAGGAAAATAGCACACAGCATCGCTGGCCCCTTTATATCTTTTGGCCATGCAGTTCTTTCTCTTTTTATGGATTGTGAAATACTTGAAATACTTGAGAGCAAAAGGAGGCTGCCTGGTTCCAGCGTTTGTCTTCAGCAGTAACTCCCCCATCAGTAAATCATTTGCATCTGGGCTAAAGCCTTAGATGACTTGGATACCGCCAGTCATTTAGTTTGTCAGAACGCTTACTGAGAGAGGAATAAGACACTTGCACAGGTGCACTAGCATGCAGTGGGAATGTGGTTAACTGCTGCAGGGACAAAGTGTTGGTCTTCGAAGAGGAGGCACAGGCCACAAGCAAGGTGTCTGATGCACACTTGTGTGTTGGACAATAGACAATCATGATTCCACTGATGGAGACAGGGCTCCTAATCTCCCCCTCATTCTTTTCCCTCATTTCCCTGTTTTTCTTTGATGATTTTGGTATTTGAGTTGTAAGGATGTGAGGATAGGAGAGAAAATAGCAAAGCAAGAAACAGAAAACCTTCCCCAGAGCAGGACTGAGCAAGTCCCCAGTGAGAGTCAGGTCTGCCCTGCAGCTTTCTCCTGTAAATAAAGCTTTATTGAGCCCTGACCAGGCCCATCAATTGATTCTGCGAGGCAGAGCACACAAGCCTGGAATCCTGTATTTACTCTGAGCTTTATAGAAAAGGTTTCCCATCCCCTGAATAAAATCTGGCCTGAACTGATAACTAAATTTTCCCAAAGACAGGCAACTAAGCCTGCCTAACTCTATTTCCACAACATCGCGTAAGCCACCAAGTTAAAGTGAACTGAGACTGGTGGCTGCTTACGGAGTGGGAAGTCACATTTCAGCAGCCAGCCCCAGGAGCGAGCAGGTGCTGGGAGAGTGGCACAGGGCAAGGGCTGGCCTGGTGTGGGCAGGATGCTCACATTCTCTCGCCCCTTGCTCTCTCCTCCTCCATCTGCCGGGGGTACCAGGTTCTGTGCCTTCCCCAGATTGCTCGTGTCTGGGTAATGCTGACTCTTGCTGCAGGAAGGTCTTTATCCCATTAGACGGTTTGACTGAAGCTGAGCTCATACGGCATGGTGCTTGCTTCTCTGATGAGAGCTTGCCATGTGCTGGTGGGGAGCCTGCAGGTCTTTGATGGTGTTGCCTGTTGTCTCTTTCCTCTGGGAACTGTGTCTCTGAGAAGGGCCTTGTGGTCTGCAGAAGAGTCAGGGTGTCTTCTGTCTGAAGAGGGGGTGAGGTGTGGATAGATGTGGCTTCCAGTGGAGAGGAGAGCATGCACCTGAGTATGCCCAGCAAGTAGCTTTGTTTTTCGTCCACTGGTCTTCTGGTGCTGGCACAAGGACTTGGGAGTCTGTGAAGTGGGACGTGCTGGCAGGGTGACCTGTGTGCACTATGTTCATGTCATGTTGGCAAAACACAGCTGCCAGGGTCCCTGGAGGCCGGGGGACTTGAAGCCCTGTCAAGGGGACCTGTAGGAGCCGCTGTGAACAGTCAGAAGAATGACTTTTGTCCCCCACATTTGTACTTAATGGTCCTAGCTATCTACACAGGTGGGAAGACGGTTTCAAAATATCATCTTGAGAGCTGCTAGCACAAAGATAAAAACCCAGGAGAGTCTGCCCAGGCCGTCTATGAGAAGAGCACTCACTCTGGCTGTGAAGCACCTACTGTTTTGCACATCCAGTCTGTTTCTGGTCCCTCTGCCTTGAGTCTGCACAAGCAAGGCTGCCTCCAGCTGGTTTTGTGGCTTCCGTGCTTAACATTCCCTGCTCCCTTCCAGTCATACCCGGCAGCAACACCAGACTCTCAGGCACGCTGTGTCCCCATGTAGATGATGGGTGGAGTCTCACTGGCCAGCAACTAGAGCGGGAACTTCCCATCTTGGTGTCAAGTGCCTCGGAGACCTGCCCCTCACTGCCTCACAGTGTCACCCACGCAGACCCGGCACCCAGGCTGACCCTTCCCAGCAGCAACTTCTGTCCCTCCCGCTTCCTTTCAGTTGTTCACCCTCCTGCCTGCAGGCCCCTCCTGCAGAATCCCGCGTCCTTGGGACACAGTCTGTTGTTTTTTTCTCTGACTTGCCTTCTTTGGTCATGACCGATAAAGTGGCCATTCTCCAGATTCCCAGGAGAGTCACTCTGTGTAGTTGATTGCTGATCTTTCCCCACGCTGCCCGGGGTTGTGTACATGTGTGTTCTGTTTCACGTCCCTCGGGCCACTGTACCCTCATCGAGGCCTAGGCAAGTTCCTTGTCCACACTACCTCCGCCAGGCAGTCAGTGACTGCTGTTAGGGGCACAGGGACTGAAGAATGGAGGGACAGAAGGGGTGGAGAGGCCAGACACTAGATAGCCACAGGTAAACCTGGGCTGCCAGTGAGGGCATCGCTGGCACAGTTCTTCCGTGGGACCCCTCGACTTGGCCCCAGGATCCAAAGAGACCTCCCACGTGGGAAAGCTTCTGGGAAGGCCGGCTGCAGGCGCTGCTATGGACGGTGTCTTTGTTTGGGTCTAGAGAGAGTTGTTTCTGAGCATGCAGGGCAAGTGTCGCCTTAGAATGGCAAGATTGTACCGAGGACAGGAGACAGCACTGTGGTTGACAGAATTTACCCTAAGTGCTTGGGGCCAGGGCGTGGGGGGGATGCGAAAAGGGAACTCGTAACTAACACCTCATAAATACGTGTGACTGTGTGGTTCTGTCTTCCTTCCCACAGAGCAATATGATCAGCCTGCCAAAACCCACCCCAGTTCTCAGCAAGGAACATCGTAAGTAAAATGCCTTTGTTTACTCAGAGCTAAGGCATCTGTACCACAGGAGAGCGTGGGGTTTGCTGAAAAGAGGGAATTTTGAGCTGTTATTTACATATTGACCGGAAAACAGGGTTTGACTTCTGAGCTTTTAGTCAATAGCATTAGCTTTTAGAAATAAAATGTTCAGGAATGTGTACAATATGAGATTTTCTGCCACTTTTTTGGCCTAGTTGTACTAGTAAGCATCCAGCCTTTTTGCCCAGCTCTTCTTTATTAAGGCCAAGCAGGTCCAGGTATATTTTGGGTTTTGGGAACATTTACACTTCCTACTACAGATTTTTAATTCTGCATTTGATCCACTTCATTTCTTGAAGGTGTTGAACTTGTAGTTTGTTCACTTTCTTACCCCAGGAAGTGGCTTTTCAGGATGAATGAAGGAGGAGCCCTGTCTCCTTGCCCCAGTCTGTGACAAGCATTAACTTGCTGGCTTGCTAGACAAGAGCAGTTCAGGTGCACCAGGAGCTCAGGCTCCGGTGTTCCTCTATTTTAGGCACAGTGTTTGTTCCATGTATTGTGGAAGGTAGGGTTGCTGTGGATTAGTTTTAAAACTGTAGCTGAGTTGAAGTTGTTTTATTTAGTTGCCATGGCTGAATGTGGAACTGGGTTAAATCATTGTTCCTGTTCCCAAGCACCAGCTCCTTGATGCAATTTGTTTTCATTTCGACATAGCAAACTGAGCAAAAAAGAACAATGTGAACAGTTGGTGTTTTTATTTTGTTTTGTTGGTGCTGATGAGCTGATTTAGGTTTTGGGCACACTAGGCAGGCACCCTACCAATTGAGCTACATCCCTAACCATTTTTTAGTAACAATAAATTGATTATAGGTTGAGGGATGATTTTTTTTCCCCTTTTGGTACTGGGGATCCAACTCAGGGCCTTCACACTAAGCTACATTTTAGTCCTTTCTGTCATTGTTTATTTTCATGCATGGTCTCACTAAGTTTTTCATGCTGAGCTTGAACCTGTGGTCCTTCTGCTTCCGCCTCCCAGAGTGCTGGAATTACAGGCAGGTGCCAGACCTGGTTGAAGGATGGATTTTTCCGTGGAATCAGAATGTGTTTTGTTTGTTTGTTTGGTTGGTTTTTGTTTTGTGGCACCAACAGATGAGTTTTGTTTTTAATTTCCTTTACGAGGAAAAAAAATGTATAGCCTTATGTCAGTCGTCTCTTTTTCTCTTTCACCTTTTCGTGGTGGAAATTTTGCTGGTGTCTAAATTCTCTGTGGCACGTTGGCTGTGTGGGTGGCTGGAAAGGAGAAGAGGCTGCAGGTCCAGGACCACAGCCAGGGACTCCAGGTGACTGCCTTGCTCTCACTCCTGGGGCTGCTTGGCCTGTAGCCATACCCTGTGAGCACAGAAGCTGGGCCCTTTCTGGGGTGTCAGCAGGGGAGTCAAAGGCCGCTGTCCTGGCTGGCCAGATAGAGGGGTGGAGTGAGGGAGCAGCTGCACCCGGAAGGAAGTGGCTGTGACCCTGTCCTGTGTTTCACAGAGAAGCAGCCTCAGACTGGGCCTGCAGAAGCTAAGCTTCCCGTCCCATGGCTTGCAGGTGTGTTGGGGATGTCCCTGGGGTTCTTACAGCTGTACCTTCTAACATGAAACTTTATAACCTTCCTAAAAGCTACTCATTAATGTCATCTCAGATAGTCTGGGAGAGTATTAGGGGTGATCCCAGTGATTAGGGAAGGCTGAGAAGGTCCTGGGAGAGCAAGAAGAGGGAAGGGTCTTTGGAAGGATCACCGGAACTAGGAAGATAGGAGGTCGTATAGGTTTGGGACCAGCTGACAGTGTCAGAAGAGGTGCTCTGATGAGCTCGTTGTCAGGAGACTGGGTGAAAGTGGTGTCCCAATTAATTTGTGAAGTGGTCATTAAGTCTCCTACTGAGCACAGGCTAATTTGACCTAGCGTCAGCTCTGGGTTCCTTGTGTGCAGTTTAGCTGCTTCAGGGACAGTTGGATGCCAGGGAGGTGGCCTGGTGCATTCAGCATGTCTGGACTTCCGTTTACAGAATCAGTCTATATCTTCATGCTTTTCCATGCTGTTATTTTGTTTTTTCAGCGAAGGTCTCATTCTGCAGTTCCGGCTGGCCTCCAATGTCCTGTGTCGCTCAGGCTGGCTTCAGACCTGCAGCAGTGCTCCTTCCTCAGTCTGCTGAGTGCTGAGGGTACGGGTGTGCACCACCACACCCAGCTTTGGTTCCATTATTAATACTCCTTAGAAAACACAAAAGGAACAAAGTGGGCTCAGTGGTAAGGAAAAGGCTGTAAAAGATCTGTATTAATTTTGAATCTGTTCACACTGAGAGGCGGCAAAGCGTGGAAGGATGCCAGTGTGAAACACCTGCTGGACCCATTGCTTTTTCATCTTTATGTTTGAGCCCTAGTTGTTTTCTGAACATTCCCTCTGAAGATATCTGACTAGCGAGGATGTTAGGGCTGTTTGCCACTGAGTTCAGGAGAGGTGTCCTTGTGAAAGCCAGACTCCTGGCTTTTGAGTCCTCTTCCTGCCCGAGGTGTGGATTCATGATTCTCAGGGGACATGCAGAGAGTTTTCGTTTTCCATGGTCATTCACCTTTTGTAATTGTGAGCAGCTCCTTTCTGTGCATCAAGATCAAGGGATAATTTGTTAATACCCTACAAACTGTAAAGCAGGATACATGTATTGTTGCTGTTAGTAGTATTCCTCTGTCCTCTTACCTTGAAAATCGCTAAATTCTTATAAAAGGGTACCGTCTATTTTTTGGTTTTTCTCTATGAAATTATGGGTGCTTTCTTAGAATAAGAAAGAGAAATTGGCTGTGACAGCATTTTGAAGTTTTATTTGTATAGAAAGTTGCTTTGGAAATGAGAGAAATATCCAGATGTTAAGACTGGGATTGGGATGTTCCTGGAGTCGGAGGAGGAAGAATGCAAAATTAACAAAGGCCAGGATGAGTCTGATACTTTTCAAAATGAGCCTGAGTTTTCGACTTTTCCAATAACATCATGGGTTTTAAAGTATCTTGGTAAAGAACTATGGAAGACCAATCATTGTATCAATATTGTGGTATAAAATCATCACAACAAGGCATGGTGACAGCTAAATTATGCTAAATATCCTCCAGAATTAAGTCTGAAGACATGGCTTCCTTGTGCCAGTTAATTTAAATCATATATTTTTTGAGGAAATGGATTTTATTCACTTGTTTTGAAATGATAATTTATACCAATTGAAGATGTTTTACCTGGATTCTTAAAATTTAATGTAGTTTCTAATTGAAAGTACTGTTTTCTTTCTGATAGAGACTATCAAGAAGAAACAACAGGAAACTAAGTATAGAAAAAAACCCTAAAAAGTGACAGTGGAAACTGCCTGGTGAGCAAGCTCACACGCCGTCATTGCGGTGTATCCCAGGGCCTTATCCACCATCTTCAGCTACTTGAAAACAAAGCCCAGCATTTGCGCTGGACACTTAACAACCTCCTGAAGATCTGTGCTGAACCATCAGAACGGAGCATTCTTAAGACTCTTCAGTGCTCTGTACCTGGCATTTCTGAAAAAGGATATACTTTATTTGGAAGTGCTTGAGACACCGGGCTTGTGGATGTCTATAATTATATTGGTAGCCCACATACAGAAAAAAGTCTTTTGTTTATTTTTAAGAAGAAAAGACTACAAGTGTAAAATGAAGGACAACAAGGGCTTTCCTTCCTTCCTTCTCCCCTCTCTCCTTCCCTCCAGTGAGTTGATATTACCATTAGGCTAAGACTAACCGCAAATTTTTAAGATCAGACCTTGAGAAATTTCTATTCTTAAGTCAAAATAAACAGAAGGAGCCATTCTGTGCAGCGTTCAGAGATCCACTCGTTCACTATTACAGTTCCTAGAATACGTTAAAACCACATTTAGGAAATATTGGAATCCCTCAGTGTAGAATGGCTTCATTTCATAATCTGCACTGCTGGCTCCCACGACTTCAGGTCGTGATAGAAGAGTTTCTTGAAATACTCACTGTGACTCTGGGATTAGTACTGTTCGGCTTTAGTGAACAATAATCCTAAGATCCCGTAAGCGCCTGTTGAAGGGATATTCAGCGGAGGCTGACGCAAGGCCTCCTGCAGTCATTTCAAAGTGTTGAAGTGCTGGAGAGTTGGCCTCCTCTCAGGGTTGCCTCGGCACTCTCCCCTCCGCAGCAGCTGATGTGCCATTGCATGCAGTGTCCTGGGAGCTCCTGTAGAGGAGTGTGTGCTGTTGCACCTGACCTTAGACCAGACAGAGGTCAAATGAAAAGGAGAAGAAAACATTTATCAAGTGTTTATTATATAATAGGTGTTAAAATGATTTCAGCTCATGGTACTGGAAAAAAATTATGCTCCTGTTCTTTTTTTAATTGAGTTTATGGGTACATTTTAGGGATACAGTACAGTTCCATTCATCATTGGGATCTTGTACCTTTCCATGACAGGTCTTGGTTCTCATTTTTTCCCCTTGTCCCTGCCCTCCCTTCACCCCTCCTCCCCTCCCCAATTACAAACACTTTATTTCCATTTTTTCATTTTCTCACATTTTTGTCTTTTGCCTTATTAGCTTTCCCCTACCCTTCCCATTTCCTCTACACCTTTAGCCCTTTTCTTCCTATTTCACATTGTCAGTTATCTCATTAGGATCTTATGTACTATTATAATTTTTCACACCAGAGAAACTATTCGGTATTTACACGTGTGACTTATTTATTTCACTTTAGGAGTATATCCTCAATATGTATCCGTTTTCCTATGAATGAATCTGATTTCTCATTCTTTATGGCTGAGTGGTAACATACCCTTGACTATAGCTCAGACCAATAGTATTCTCAGCTCTTACTCAGGTCCGAGGGGCTCCTTCCTCCTCCCTTGAGCCACTCAACCTGTAATTATGAATGGCTGTGGTGCTTTAGCTACCTAAGGGAAGCAGTGGCCCATCAGATAAAAGTCGTCCTTGGCTTCATTTTGAGACTAAAGGTGGGTCACATAAAACTGAACCAGGTGATGGTGCTGATGTGGGCGGTAATGTTCAAGGCATGAGACCAGAGAGGTCTCAGAGGAGGTGACTTTTGATCTGAAGGTCACACTACTTGCCAAAACCCCAAAGAAGGCATGGGACCCTCAGGGAATAATTCTTTCGGTCAGAGGACTTTCCAGTTGATTTGCTTATGCAGAATCTGATTTCAGGGGAGATCTTGAGGATTCCTTTAAACTTGTGTGACTCATCAAAGAAGAAATGTTGTAATTCTCTAAGAACTGGTTAGCCTTAGGGCAGTTTAGACATTTCACCCTGTCTGGGCAGTAGAGCCAAGCAGATGTGCTACTTTCACCAAATATCCATGCTCTAGCCTTGATTTTGTCAAGGGGTTCTCTGAGATCATCTGTACTCCCCCCACTCCCCCGCACACAGGTTTTCCTCTGGTCACACACACTGGACCCCGCTGTTGTCTTGGGTGAGAGCCCTTCAGCAGTTTGTGCTGCGTAACCACGCTGTGTAAAACAGCGTCCCTTCCCTAGGCAGGTCACCCATTGGGAAAGTGTTCCCACTCATCTCCCTCCTCTAGGTTCTAAGAACCACAGAACATGAGTCTTTGTCTGCTCAGAATTAAACCTGGAGGGTCTTAGAGAATGTCCTGTGCTTAGTATTTGGAGTCAGCATGGAAGGAACGACATACACACAGACTTGGTGGGGTACCAGTGAATGATAGCGAAGAGACTTGACTTTAATATTTTTTTCTAGATTTTGTTTCTAGTTGAAAGTATGTCACTAGTGTATTGTTTTTCTGTTTCTTGATTTAACTTCAGATTTTCCTTTATTCATAGTGTTGTGATTTTTTTTTTTCTCATGTCCTCATTTGACTTCAAGATCTTCTCTTCACTCGTGGAATTTAAATAATCTCTTCACATCTCCAGCAGTGATTTTGCCTTGCCCACCATTCAGCTCTTTGACTGCATTCATCGTGTCCCGAGTTGATGTCTTTTCCATCCTGTTGGCTCTCCTTCCCCTGCAGGCAGGCTCTCCCTGTGTTGGGATCTGCCTTCATTGTGTTGTCCCTGGTACATACAGCTATAGCCACTTAGGATCGGCTGTGCTGCTTTCTTGTTTATGGTATGTAGAGCCCTCGTCCTAGTGTCTAGATTCTGTCGTCTCCTGCAAGGCATTTGCTGTCCCTCTTTCTGCACTGTGTCCAGGGAGATTTAGAGCCTGGTGGGACTGAAATGCTTAGAATGATGGCTGTGTGACAGAGCCGGTCTCTTCCTCCTTTCTTCCTGCAGTCCTTGCCCACCAAGTCCAGATTGGTTTCGGGCCTGGGGGATGCAGGATTATACACTTGTGCATGCTCGGCAGTGGCTTCTGGAAAGCGTTAGTTTTCTTACCATTTAGGCACATCTAATACCGTACCACAGTTGTGATTTATTAATTATAAATGTCTCCTGTGAGCTTGCCTTCACTTGCTCTTCTTCAAATAAAATAATCATAAGACACATGAAGCCAAGAAGGCGGTTTCCTTAAGTAGTTTTGGGGTTCTAAATTGAAAAGTTACAGAAAATTGGCAGTGTACGCTTTGGGTGAGTCCAGCCCTAGGAAATGGGAGAGAGAAAGGTCGGCCTGTCAGGACCTGTACGGGGCTCCCTCAGCAGCCTGGAGAAGGAATCTGGATAAAGGTGGAGGATTGTTTTGTGACTTTTACTAACCAGCAATGTCAGGAAGGGTCAGCCCTCCATGGTGGTTCACAGTCGCTTTACCTGGGCAGCTTGGCTTTCTAAAAGCAGTGCCATATGCGCTGAAATAATCGTCTTGCCTTGTGGTTAGGAAATGGATTAGTTATTTGACCAGTTAGTGTATAAGCTTAAAAGTTCATTCATTTTTATAGGGGGACAATAAAATACTTACTTTATTCCAAGAGGGTACTGGTCAGCTCTTCCTCTGGGTGTGTTCGGGAATTTGTGTTGATCCCATCTGTCAGCCTGTGTGTCACATGTCTGCATGAGCATGGAGCCTCATACGGATGGAATGGGCTCTGCACCGTGGCCTGGCCTGTGCCGTCATCATGATCTCAGACACACTAAGCAGCTGTTCCCCCTCTGGTAGGACCACGAGCACTGGGGACCTACCAGGAGGGCTTAATGCATGTGTGATGCAGTTCACTAGGCCGGCTCTGCACTGGCCCTGCCTAGCGGCCCCTGGTGTGGATGGGAAGCCATCCTGGGCCTGTGTTAACCTGACCGGTTTCCGTGTGGCGGCAAGATGGTCTGAGAGTCCTTAACCCTCGCTTAGTGGGGCGTAGGTGCTCGGTGTGACGTGAGTCCCCTCCTGTCCTACGCAGATAGTCTGTGCCTAGCCACAGGTATAATCCCCAGGGGACAAGCAGGGGCCTTCAGCAGCTGATTTCTTTCAAACTGTTCCTAATCTCCAAAAATCCTTCACCTGTGACTGACCAGACTCTTTCCCTTAGATGTGTCAGTTCTGGTTCTGTGTTTTAACTCAGAATGGCGTGCTTGATTTTTCCAGGACCGAGTCTTGCTTAGGAATTTTAGTAACTTCCTATTCAGTCGTGCATGTAATGTGTTTCTTACCCAAAACTTGGGAAGACGCCTCTCTCACTCCCTCACACCCCCTGGCATGCCGGTTTGTGTGGAGTCGCTGCCTCGAGTGCCAGCATCAGTGTCAGTGCCTGGACGGTATTACGGTTCCTGTTGGCTGGGTCGGCAACGCCAACACCACACCTATGTCTGATAAGATCTGTTTATGCTCTGTAAGTAAGTAATGCAAACTTTAAGTGAAATGTTCAGTGTGTACATTTTAAGTACATCTTCAATAAGTGGTAGGTTTCATTTGACTGTGTTGGTTTTCTCTCTCTCTCTCCCTTCTTTCTTTTCTCTAAAATATCTCTTGTGATTTGTTTTTGTAAGATGGGGGTCTTGCGACGTAGCCCGGGTTGGCCTTAAACTCTTAATGACCCTCCTGCCTTGGCTGAGGCAAGCTTGGGGCCATTGCACCCAGTCACTGTGCCCTCTGTTAAAACCTGAAAAGCTTTTGTACCTGCAGGCTTATTGCTGCTGTGTACGTAACTCTCTGAAGCAGAAATTGCTCTGGGAAAGCAATTTCATAGCACCTGCTACTACTCCCCAGGCACAAGTGCAGCTTCGAGCAAGGGGCTTTTTCTCCTACACCGTTGTGATTGTTAAACTCCAATCCCAACAATGGAAAGCTGTATTTCCAGCCTTGCTAAAGTAGGAGTTCAGCTTCTGTTTAATAAATATTGAGCAAGATCTACATTTACAAGAATCTGACAGTTTTCATTTTATTTAGGAACTTATCATGGTATGTGTTCAGTTTATTTGTTGATGAAAGTAGATCCTTGGCAGAATTAGTATGTTGCCTGGAGGCAGCCAGATATATATATATAAATATTATATAGATATAAATATATTTATATCTATATCTATATAAATATCAAGTTCTGTTGCTTACTTTCATGATAAAATATAGTAATTTTTTACCAGGGTTTCGCTAATAACCATGCCTGCTCACTTCAGCGGAAGGAGTGGTTTTGCAGTAAAAATTGTTGGTCTCATTATTGATGAGGTATATTTTAGATGTACTGAATGACTTTTTTTTTAATTAAAAAAAAATTTTTTTTTGAGACAGGGTCTCACTATGTAGTTGAGACTGACCTGGAACTCACTCTGTAGCCCATGCTGGTCTCGAACTCACAGCGATCCTCCTGCCTCAGCCTCCCGAGTGCTGGGATTAAAGGCGTGCACCCCCACGCCCAGCTGAATGACTTTTTAACTTCTAATACAATTGGCTTTTTTGGACCTCAGTGATACTCATGTAGACCCCCACCACCCCCTTTCAGTTTTACTTGCAACATTTCCTCAAGTAGTCAGGCTTACAAGATTGGAGAGAAGTGGAGGAAGCATTACTGAGTCACTCTTGATGTCTGGGTGTCTCTGTGGACCATGTGAAGTTCAGGGGAGGGAGGTGTCAAACTCAGAAAACAGGCAGGTTGGAGAATGTTTAGTTTTTAAGGTCGGCCATAAGCCAGAATGCTTGGGGATAACTAGCCCTAGGTTTGAGGAAATGAACTGACTTGTCTTCACTGGACCCAGAACAATAAATTTAAAGCATACTTTCTCCACAAAAAAATACTCTTTGTCTTATTACCTTCAACAGTGATGAGTGTTAAAGCACAAAAAAAGAGAATACTTTTTTGCATTTGAAAAATAGTTCTCAGATGGGTGACTCATGCCTGTAATCCCGGCACTGGGAAAGCTGAGACAGGATTGCCACAAGTTTGAGACCAGCCTGGGCTACATAGTGAATTCAAGCCTGAAGTATACAGCGAGACCCTGTCTCGGGAGAAAACAAACAAAAGAAAAGAAAAATAGATCTCAGTATTAATAACGTCCTATGGACAAAAGTAGAATATGGCTGGTGACATTTGTGTGGATCCATGTATCTCACCGTGCGTTCTGTTTCTATATAAGAGCCATCGTGCGCTTTGCAGACACTTGGCGTTCCATCCCTGCAGTGGTCGCTCGTGTATTCTGGTTCACTCAGAGGCTGTCGAAGAGTAACCTGAGGGTGTGATGTGGACTTTTCTTTCTCCACCTGTTTATAGTTTGTGCAGACCCTGTCCTCACTGATAAAGGGCTGGGGACCTGTCTCAGGGCAAACTGCCAGCTCCTTTTTGTCTGTCCAACCTGTGAGGAAGAGCGGGGTTGTGTCTTCAGGAAAGTAAGGCATTCAAAGGGCAAAAAAGCATATTCCTCGCCCACGCCTCCTTTGTCTCATAGGCTGTTTTCTGTTTGCTGTATGTGCTAAAAAGGTTACTAGACGCGGTCTCTGATGCTCTGTCCCTGCCATTGCAGCATGCTCGAGGACGACCTTCAGCTCAGTGACAGTGAGGACAGTGACACAGAGCAAGTAAGTTTTGCACCTCATGACACCTAGAGTCCTGTTAAATCCAGCCCGACTATCTGAGCTGCTGTCCTAACTTGTTTTTTGTTCTTTCCTGGTCCTTCTTCCCCTTATTGTGAATGCCTAGACCCCAGAGAAGCCTCCTTCCTCAGCTGCACCTCCAAGGTACGGTCTGGGGTCTCTCCCCTCTGTCCATCAAGCTCGCGTGTCTGCCCCATGGGGGAAAAGCCTTACTTGAGTGCTCTCATGGTTCCTGCAAGGGGAAGGAGGTGGAGGGTCCCTGCTGAGGGAGAAGAAGCCAGTTATAAACTGTTCTCAAAATTTATAAAATCGAATTTCTCGGTAGAACTTGTTTTCTACTGTGCTGGTTTTCTTAGTTACATGAATTTTCAAATTACTTCAGCTGCTTTAAAATATGACCTGCATTTCATTTTAATGTACTAGAAAATGATAGTGTTTTCACTTGATAAAGAAACCAGACATTTTAGAAAATGTGATGCTTTAAGTTTTGGAAGTGGGGGTTGTCTGACATTTCCTTGTAATAAACTTAATGATTTACCATGACAAATACCTGCCTGTCATGGCTGAAGAGTCAAGTTTACCTGCTCATCTGAGATGTGCCCTTGCATTCAGAGCTAAGACAGCAGAAACACCCTAGCCATCACAGGTGAGGTAGGGACAGGTGCCCATGCAGTCAGTCTTACAGGTTTGTAAGGTTTGTTGTTTGTTTAGCCCCAGTTACAGAATTTCTAATAAGTCCTGTCAGCTCACAAAATATGACTAATTAGTCTAACTTAAAAATAAAGGAAAAGCCAGGCATGATGGTGCACATCTGTAAGTAATCCCAGCATATGGGAGGCTGAGGCAGGAGGGTTGCCATGAGTTCAAGGCCAGCCTGGGCTGTGTAGTGAATTGATGGCCAGCCTGAACTTCATACTGAGACCCTGTCTTTAAAAAAAAAAAAAAAAAAAAAAAAAAAAAAAAAAAAAAAAGTCGCTAAAAAGTAAAGTGTAAAGGGAAAGGAAAAGCAAATCAAAGGCAGAGGTAAACTGGAGGCAGAAGTCCAGTTGAAAGTGTCCTCTTCTGAAACCCTGGCTCAAGTGTTCAAGTCATCAGGGTCACACAGTTGATGCCACATTGTATATGGACCCTGGAGAGTTGTACAGTGTGTTTGTCCTAAATTTACCTCTCTGAGTGATTTTGACTCGAGTGCTGTATACGCTATTTAATAATTTACTTTGCATATAGGTAGGTTTGGTTTCAAGATTATAGTTAATGCTGGACATGGTGGTGTATGCCTATAATCCCAGCACTTGGGAGGCTGAGGCAGGAGGATCGCTGCAAGTTCAAGACCAGCCTGAACGACATAGTGAGATCCTGTCTCAAAAAAAAAAAAAAAAAAAAAAGACAGTGATTTGCTACTTTAGCTAATACCATCTGGGACAGTGTTTTAAGATCATTTTGAAATTCTGTATGTGTCTAGCAGTGATCATCAGTATGCTTTCTCATGGACCTAGAGTTCCCAGCCTGTTCTTAAAACTTGGAGTACTCATAATTCCACTCAGTAAATAGAGGTGGATTGTTTTTTAGCTCACCCTCCAAAGGAACAGACAGCATTTATAGTCGGTGGTCATCGATTAGCGTGTAGTCAGTTCTCAGAAAGAAAGTGTAGGAAGAGTAACTTAACTGTTTTTTTCTTAGAAGTTCTTTGGCTTATGTTTGGCAGGGGCCTGCAGCCTTAAAGGGCCAGACGGTAAATGTGTCAGCCTTTGTGAGCCCCAGAAGCCTGTCCCAACCACTCAGCGCTGCTCCGGGGCGCCCATGACAGTGATAGCGGGTGTTGGTCCAATAAAATCTTATTTAGAGAAACAGGCATCCTGCCCAGGCCGTGGTTAGCCCAGTCTCCAATGTAGCTCATGTACAGCTTGACCTGATTTCAGCAGTTGGACTCCACAAGCTTCTCTTAAGCAGTTATGAATTGGTTTAAGGGTTTTGGCTGCTTTTTAGGCCACAGCAGGCCCCTCTGCACCAGCTGATTAGGCATTTCTGAGGCCCTTCCTTGAGGAGCAGAAGAGGCAGCGGGTAAGGAGGGCAGCAGAACTCACCTTGCGCTCTGCTGTGTGTCTTCTAATTTTATCCTTGGTTGTTCTGCAGTGCTGCACCGTTGCTGCCGGAGCCAGTGGCCTCTGCACATTCCAGCAGCGCAGAGTCGGAGAGCACCAGTGACTCCGACAGCTCCTCCGACTCAGAGAGCGAGAGCAGCTCGAGTGACAGTGAGGAGAACGAGCCCCACGACGCCACAGCTGCGGAGGTACTGTGTCCGCAGCAAGGCCCAGGCCCCAGGCCCTGTGCCTGCGGGTGACCCGTCGTCTCTGCTCCTGGGCCGTGTGTGGACTCATGTCGCACTGTTCTCCCTGGTTAGAGTGGGAGGCTCTTTCTCTGTTGCTGCTAGTGCTGTTTGGCAGAGGGGCTCGTCAGGACTGTTGGCACGCTATTTTCTTTTCCCTTCTTTTGAAAATGAAAACTTGCTTTCCATAGGCTGCCATTTAATATTTATGAGGATGCTCTTTGAAACTTCAGGAATGCATGAATTAAGGACAGGAGAGGAGACCATTTGAATTAGCAAACTCAGCCACGTGAACCAGACAGAAGTCCTCAGGAGTTCTAGTTCTGAATTCCTCAAAGCTGAGCGTTAAATTGATGGCAAAGTGATTTTTCCAGAGCACTATTCTTGCTCCCTTCTGCCCCTGTAAAACCGGGTATTTGTGTTTGCTTTCAACTCCCCCAGGAGACTCTGCAAGAGGAGCAGACCAGCAGACTATTTCTCTGGGGGTGAACACCCAAGGGAGACTAAAAGTCCCAAGCACTGAGTCTCTGGGCAGTCGTGCTGCCTACTGGCACAGGCATTGTTAGAACAGACAGCAGCGCTGCCAGATACCTTCGAACTTGGGTAGAAGTGTAAGGTCGTGCTGGGGGATAGTGCAGTGCAAACGGGAGGCATTTCATTCTCAGTGAGCAGCTCCGGCCCTATAAAGAAACCCAGCTGTATGTGCACACAAGCAGTAAGGTTTGCTGTGTTCTCTGCTCTTCAGGAACAAGGCATTTCTGCCGGAGCATTAACTGGACATGTCTGGAGATCGATCACTTGGTGAGGCACAGGGCAGGCTGAGAAAGCGGCACAGTGCCAGTGCCCAGAATTGTTAGGAACGTATGAGTGTACATCAGCAGAACCTGCACCCCAGGTGCTGTTAGATTTCACTGATTGCTCTGTCTTTCCGAGACTGTCTCCTTGTGTGATAAATGATTGTTGTTGAAATAATTTTTCTATGCCCCAGGGAGCAGGAAACCGAATATGCTATGCAGACATATTGTGTGATTTTCACTATTAGATTTATAAGAGCTTCGCTTTGTTTTACCTTTTTTAAGTGAGGAAAATATACTTGCTTGTTAGTATTGATTTTAAAAGGTATTTCAGCCAAATAATACAATTCAAATAAAATCAGAATGGACAAAGTAATCAATAATAGAAAATGGAAATTCAGTCGGTGGCTCGTAGTAAAGACATAGTTACGTCTCCTCCCTCAAGTGATCACTAGAATAGATTCAGACTCCGTAAGTATAAAGTAAAGCTCCTGTTTCACTTTATTTTTAAAACTGTCTTTGGGCCCGGGATTTAGCTCAGCGGTTCGGTGGCCTGCCTTGCAAGTGCAAGGACCTGAGTTTGATCCCCGGTATCCCCCCCAAAATAAATAAAAAAATAAAACTGTCTTTTTTAGGGAAAAAAATGGGATTTGTATGTTGATGTGGAAGTCCAGCTTGATGGAGGGTTCACATGTCATATACTGGGCCTGTCTTTCCAGGAGTATTTTCTTTGTTTACCCTCAATGTTCCCTAAGGTACCCAGTGACTTTTCTTGCCTTTTAAAATACCTGCTTCCATTTATAAAGGGTAACATGAATTTCATAATGGGTCATAGTTACTAATTTTAACTTTCCCGCCTTGTTTCTATCTTTAATGCTGAGAAGTAACTTTCTGTGGCTCTACTCTCGTTAATTTTGCTGGATGGAGTAGGCCCAGGCTCTCAGAGGCCCGAACACAGTTCACCGGCTGCTAGGCTGCCTCGGAGCATGGGATACAGCCCTGTGGATTCTCTTTCCATGTCTGCACAGTACTGTGAGCCTAAATGTCAACCAGCTTTTCAAAGTCTGTGGGACATAGGCAGTCTGTGCTGCCTAAAAGTATAGGAAGATACGCAAGCATGATGCATTCTAAAATAAACTAACTTTTGCCAGATTAAATGGTTAGGAGAGGTAAGGGACATGTAGTCAAACGTATTTAAGAAATAATCCTCACATTTTCCCCTACTTCGGAGCATTTGGGTGGCAGCCTCCCTGGGAGGGTGGAAGCTGAGAGCCAGGAAAGGCCAAGGGAGCGATGAAGAGCCAGACCTCAGTCCTGTCTGGTACTTAACCTCTTGAAAATTGTCTCACAGTTTGTTTCTTTTTTGGTACTGGGGATCAAACTTGAGTCCTTGGCACTGGTGAGGCATGTGATAGAACCACTGAGCTGAATCCCCGGCCCCTCACAGTCTGTTTCCAATCGAGCCATTATGTGAATACTTTCCCCACCTCAGTACCCAAATACATAATCTTCATAATCCCTGACCTTATCCATTTTACAACTTCATGTTGGGTAATAAAGATCATGGCCCTGCCTGTTCCCTTCATCTGGGCATCCTAGCTCAATCTGACCCTGAAATTGGGCCATAGTCTTCACTTTTGCACAATGTGTTACTTCTGTAATCAGGACACTCCTTTGGGGACTGTTAAATGTATTCCAGTATGGCTCTGTCCTCGGGGCAGGAAGGGCATGCAACTTAACTAGGAATGACTTGCCCTTGGGGTTCTCACTTGACTGTTTGTGTGAGGTGTGTGGCAGTGTTGGGCTGCAGCCGTGAACATCGTGGCAGGTGAGACCCATGCCACGTTGCCTGAAGAAGGGTAAGGCAAGTTTGGTTCCCACTGCACATGACCTGTGTCCTACTGCCTGGTCCTGTTGGCCTCCAGTGTCCCCCACAGTCGGTCTCTGCGGGAAATGATGTTGACCCGGGGGGAATGGGCTGATCTTCTCCACCCAAAAAATGCCTGTCACACAGGGTGGTTTTCTTTCTTCTCTTGCTCTGAATTCAAGAGAGAGGTTGTGGGTGGAGGGTTGCTGTCAGATTAGGAAGCTATAAAGGAGGTATGTTATGGAGTAAGCAGAAAAGGACAAATTGGGCGGTTTCCTGCCCAAACTATGATCCTACCTGGTTTCTTTAAAATAAAATTTTTATTTCTGTTCTGTTATAAATCACACTAAGCCCAAAGCCCAAACTACCTACCAGATCATTTTAGTATTTAATGTTTCCCTGAATGAAAAAAAAAACCTGTACATCATATTTGTATATTTTACATTATTTAGGTCTGCATGTTTTTACAGATTTGAACAGCTATGGTATATTTTACTTGGATTGTCAGCAATCCTTCCCTTAGAATTCCTCCACCTTGGGGCTGGGGCTATGAATCAGTGGCAGTAGCATGCGAGAGGCCTTGAGTTAATCTACAGCACAACAAAACAAAACTCTGTCTCTCCTGGGTGTCCTTATCCATAACCTAATAGTTATCCCATATAAATTTTTTTCAATTGTCTTCCCAGTGCTTTGTGTGTGTAGTTTAGTCATTTGTACAAACCTATGCATGAGTTACTCATTCATAAAAACCACCTGTCAGAGTGGACCTTGAGAAAAATAAGCAAGCCAGTGAAAGACTGCCCTTAAAAAAAAATCAAAACAAAACGCTGAAGTCATCACTTGCTCAGTTGGACACTCATGTCTTTCTACATGATGCACAGCGTCAGGGCACCGAAGTGCTGAGACATCTTGTCTACCACTGTATGCAGGACCCATGGTACCACAGCAGGGAGGTGGAGGCATTGCTGCCCTTCTGTTCAGATCTCACAGTGTGGCTGAGAGACAAGGTGACAGCGTGCAGTGAGAGTTAATTTAGCAATAGTAGGATAACGTAGGGACTTCCACTAGGTGGCCCTGTCAGTCACACAGGTGACCAATAAAATCATCGCTGTCCACTGTGATCTGGGACCTCTTTTTGTGTCTTAACAACATAGGTGCTGTTTTAGATCACACTACCTGGAGCTCGAAACCTTCTATTTGCTTGTTTTGATTTTTTGAGACAGGGTCTCAGTTCAGGCTGCCCTTGAACACATTATGTAGCTCAAACTAGCCTCTAGCTGTGATCCTTCTGTCTCAGCCTCCTGAGTGCTGGAATGACAGGCATGTGCCACCACCTCTGGCCTGGAGCAAGAAACTTAATGGATGACTTTACAGAATCCAAGTGAGACTGAAGTTTTCCTATGTGACTTCACTTGCCTTTAATCGGGTAAAATGTGAAAATATTTGTGACGCACTGATAATCTTGTCATATATGAATGTTTGTTTTTAAGTAGAGAAATGAAACCATCTTGAAGATGGTCATTTTCAGTAGCATGATACCGAGGGGTAACTGCTGAAAGGTGTTTCACTCATAGCTGCTTTCTGAAAAGCCTTGCTGGAGGACACCTTTCATCTCACGTAACACACACACACACACACACACCTTTTTTCCACAGTGCTGGGGATTGAACACCCTCTCTTTCCTATCCAGCAAGCGTTCACCACTGACCCACACCCAGCCTCCTCCCCTATTCCTTATTGTGTTTTGAGACAGAGTCTTGCTATGTTTCCCATACTGGCCTAGAACTTCTGACCCTACTGCCCTCGTCTCGAATGTAGCCAGACTGAATTCCCCTTATATTCTAACAGAATTCTTTATAAGTCAAAAGGTATCGGTTCTGTTTACCATAATTTCCAATAGAAGCAAGGATTGTTTTTTATAATTTTTGTTGCTACGTATTTTACAGTACATGGTAATTACATTCATCATGGGGAGTTGGTACATGTACAGAATGCATCTTTTTTCTTTTTACTTCCCCAGGATTTATATCGATTTCTCAGCAGTTGTCAGTCACCTGTTAGTACCTACCATGCCAGTTCCCAGAGCACGGAGACATAGCTTACTGTATTTGAAGAGTTGTTAATATAGTCTCTCAGTTTGAGGAGAACGAATAGAATCTGAAGTAAGGTCTGGAACAGTTCCTTCTTCGGAGACAGGCCTGTGTCATCGAGCAGCATTATGGAAAAGCGTATCAGCTAATGCTCCTTTCTGTTTCCTGATTTCAGCCGGAGCCTCCAACAACAAACAAATGGCAGCTGGACAACTGGCTGAGCAAGGTGGGCCAGCCGACTACGGCCCCCGAGGGCTCAGGCAGCGCAGAGCCTGCGCGCCTTGGGGGCCAGCAGGGTCAGGGAGACAGCAACATCAGTGCCACAGGCCAGGCGCCTGCTGAGCCCAAAGCCCCGCCCCCAAAGAGCTGCAGCAGGGCGCCCCGGGGCCCCGCCGAGGTTCCCCACGCCAGCAGGAGAGGCGGCCACAAGTCCCCAGCACAGCAGGAGCTACCATCCAGACAGACCATTGGGACCAAGCACCCGAGGAGGCCTGCCAAGGCTTTGGCCCTAGCCACAGCGGTGGACACGAGAGCCAGCTCACAGGGAGACAGGGAGCTGGGCCCTGTGCCCTGTGGCCTGAAGGACCCAACCTGCAAAGAGAAGCCCAGGGTGAAGACGAAAGGCAGGCCACGTGCTGGGGGCAGCAGGGAGCCTGGGCCCACCACGCCAGCCCCTGGGGAAAAGCAGCAGCCCAGGAGCTGCGCCCTGGTCCCCACCAAGGACAGCACAGGGGCCGCAAGCCCTGAGCCCTTTGTGCTGGTCCCCTTGGCACAGGTTCAGGCCCAGGCCCAGGGCAGTGGCAGGACTAGTGGCTGCCGGCAGGCTGTGGTGGTCCAGGAGGATGGACACAAGGACATGCTGCTGCCTCCCTTAAGGAATACCAGGGTGCTCTCGCCGCTCAGGGAAACGCCTGCCCCCCACAGCCTGGTGGTGAAGATAGCGCTCGACCTCATCCCCAGGGTACCTCGTCTGCCTGGGAAGGCGGGCCGCCCCAGGAAGCCGGAGGAGAAGCCTCCATCCACAGGGAAGAGGCAGGAGCCAGAGAAGCGATGCTCAGATATCCCTGGCAAGGCAGCCAGGAAGAGGAAGGTGGGTGCAGTGCCCCAGTGGGTGGGGACCCGGCTCTCAGGTGTTTGTGGGGGGCTGGGAGTCTCTGCTCCACCCATGGAGCCCCTGTGCCCGCTTCCTTCTCCCCAGTCACTCATCGGGTTTCTGTCATGTGTAGAGGACACTTCCAGTGTAGAGTGGCATTTTGAGATTTAATTTTTCCTTGTGTTGGAGATCAACCCCTGGGCCTTTTGTGTTCTGCTGAGCTACTCCCAGCCCCGAGGGCCCATTGTATGTGGAGATAACCTGGTATTTAATGTCTGGTCCGTTTGGATTGCCTAGAAATTAGGAAGGTCTTACATGAGTTGAAATGTTTTAGTATTCAGAATTACTGAAAGAATTGCTATGTGTGACTTTCACACCCTAGTATGTGCTCTTTTTTTCTTTTTTGATGGTGCTGTGGTTTGAACCCAGGGACATGTGTATGCCAGGCAAGTGCTTTACAACTGAGCTCCAGCTGCTTTTTAAGATTGATTTTGAGACAGGGTCTCTCTATTTGCCCAGGCTGGCCTCAGGCTCTGAGTCTCCCTGTTGAGGGATATATTGCAACATCTGTCATTCATTAGGATTTTTTAAAGTTTTATGGAAGGATTTGTCATAGTTTTTTTTTTTTTTAAAAAAAGGGAAAATCCCTGCATTCTTTAAAACTCTCTGAGTTGGATAAATCAGTGTTTTGTACAGTCTCCTTGCCTTTATTCTGAATCATTGAATTCTGGATCTGTTTCTACTTTTGCACGATGATAAAAAGTTAAGTGTTCCCCAGTGGCTCTCTTTCCTGAGCCCACCTGGCCCAAGATCCCAAGTCAGGTATCGGAAGGGCCAGTTCTCTCTTGCTTGGAAGAGAGGACACTTTTGACACTCGTGTGTGTGCATGAGAAACGTTGCACTCAGCTGTGGCAGTTGGCTAAGAATAACAGGGAAAGTGGTCGTGGAGCTGCTGAGACCAGCTAATTAATCCACTAGGTTAAAAAATGTGACACAACCGTACTGTAGAGTGCAGAGCGCCTGACCCTGTCACGTGACATGGGGGCATGCACTGCCACTGCATCTGCAGCAGCCAGGCTGAGTGGGCCAAGTTGGGTGTTACTGGTGGTGCTGTGCCAGCTAGAAGAGGGTGCAGTTCACAGCAGAGAGCTCTTAAAGCTTTAGAAAGTGAGGGGCCAGGGATTTAGCTCAGCGATTCGGTGGCCTGCCTTGCAAGTGCAAGGACCCGAGTTCAATCCCTGGTACCAAAAAAAAAAAAGCTTTAGAAAGTGGGATGGGCACGTGTGTTGTGCGTGTGCGTGTGTGTGTGTGTGTGTGTGTGTGTGTGTGTGTGTACGTGCACGTGCGCACGTGCATGTGAAGTATACAAAGCCCATGGAGGAAACTGCAGTGAGCCTGCTTGGGACAAAGAGCCCTGCGTGTACTGTCCTGAGAGGCCCTAGAGAACACGTGTGTTTACCCATCCTTCCGGGAAGCCTCCTGTCAGCCGCGTGCCTGGTCTCCAGTGTGATCCTGCACTCACTGGAATGGGGAGTGGATTTTCTTCCAACATGCAGACTTCCCAGTGGGAACCTGGAGGATCCTCAGAGAGTTTTTGGCCCAGTCCATCCCAGCACAAGTGCACAGGCATTGTGCCATTGCAGAAGGGGGAGCTTCTAGCTTTCCTTTGGTTATGAGAACTGTGTCCCCAGAAGCTCTTGAAAACTAGGGACGCACATGCATTTTTCATTTGAGCAATGGGGGACTATAATGGTCCCTTTGTGTTAGGAACATGATTTTTTTTTCCCCCATACTAAGGATTGAACCCAGGGCCTTCACATTAAGGCACTTCCCCAATCCTTTAAAAAAAGCATTGACATAAGGTCTCACTAAATTGCCTGGCTGGGCTGGGCTGGGCTGGAACTGCAATCCTCCTCCCTTGGCCTCTCAGAGTGCTGGGATGTTAGCCTTCCACTGTCATGCCAGGTTCAGGCCATGATTTCTTCAAAGCTCTGGGAAGCAGCCAAGAGATCAGACCCAGAATGGGCTGCCCTTTTGAGGCACAGATGTGGTGCTAGTGTATAGGTTCTAGACCCTGGCTGCCTTAGTCTGGTAGGGAGGGTTAGCACTGTGAACTACCCCCTCCGGAGGTTTGAAATTCCTTCAGTGATCTTGATGCCTAGCTGTGCTGGGTATCCCAGGCCTTGGAGAGCTGTGCTTTGGCTGGAGAGATCCTGGGGTGTTTTGTCCAAACAGCTGGACTCGGGCCACCAGGCTCCTTGCCTGGGTGTTGTTCCTGACTGACCTTGCTCGGAAGCTCTCAGATAAGTGAGCTTAAACAGCAGTCTGCTGCGTACTCAGTTCACCGCAGAGAACCCTAAGTCCTGCGCTTTTCCTTCCTGCTGGACCCCAGGTGGGTGGCACTGATCACCGTGTTCACATGTCCAGTCTTGGCCCTTTCAGAGCCCTGATGTCTGTTAGGCGGGCTGTGTTCCTTTCATCAGATCCCAGTTGATGCCGGGTGGAGGAAAGGCTGCTTTCTAAGCTTGTATCCCTTTCCCCAAAATTGAACCATGAATTTTCTTTTCAAATGCACCCACTGGACAAAGTGCTCCAACGGTAAAGTCAGAGCTGTTGGGCTGTGCCTGAATGTTGTTATATAAAGGCCCTTTAGAACCTGTCTTGGTTTCCAGAGGGCTCACAGCTCCTTAAAGCCGTCCAAGGGTTAACCACGCGTGAAGAGGAAGACTCAATGGCAGGGGCTGGGGAGCCAACCGTACGGAGGTCTCGGGTTCGGCCCCAGCACAAGCTCAGGTGTCCGCCAGCTGCTGCAGCCATTGGATGCGGCACCTACAGAAGGAGCTTGGACTTTTAGTGCTTTGACGGAGAGGATGAGGAAGTTTGCAAGGAAAAGTGGCGAAATTGCGAGGCTCCCAGTTGTGAACTCAACACCACGCTCCCTACACAAGCTACTGAACTCTATCAGTCTGATTGCAGTTCAGAATTTAAAATGTCAATGTATTTTGAGGATTGAACCTAGAACCTTCACACTGAACTTCACCCCCAGCCCCTTTCTTGATCGACAGTGGACCCCTGACATTCACACTGGTTATTTCCTAGCACACCCATGAATTATGAAAAACTGCAAATTTCAGATTTGGCAAGAAGAATGCTTATTTTTATAGTTTAAACCCTAAATTTGCTATGTCTCCCGTAGTAATATAATTTAACAAAATACTGTATTAATTAATGAAGCCTTAAAAGGTGCAGGGTGTTTTGGTGACATCTTAGGAATCTTAGGACTTTAAGAAGAACAAAAGCTAGGGCCAGGGATTTAGCTCAGTAGCACCATGCCTACCTTGCAAGCACAAGGTCCTGAGTTCAATCCCTGGACTGAAAAAAAAAAAGAACGAAACCTAGAATATTGGATATAGCAACACAGGGCCCAGTAAACTGTTAGGATGCAGAAACGCTGTGTGCATCTGCTGAGATGGGTTATGGGCCAGCAGCCAGTCAGAGGCAAGGAGAACTGAATAACACTCTCAGATTGGCCACTTGCAAACTTCCTACCAAAAAACTTTTGGAGAATATTTGTGGTTTCCCTGAAATTGTAGGGATTTCCGTGAGCAGTTCATGGAAAAATCCATGAGTGACTGAGGCCGCCAACTCTGTACTGCAAGTTCATGGGGAGTATACTGCATTTTTAAATTTTGAGACAGGGTCTTGCTTAGTTGTGCGTCCAGGGTTTGAACTCGCAGAGTCCTCCTTCCTCACCCCCCAGGCTGCAGGCCTGCACTTCCACAGGCATCTCTTTGTTCGTATGGTTCAGGCCAGTTCAGTGGGAGCACAGCAGAACGCTCCTCCCATGGCCAAGCCTCCCCGTGAGCCCTGTGTGCAATTCTTCCTGGACACCTTTGTATCCCTGCCACCTCGGGAATTCCCTTTCAGACAAATGGGTGATCTGCCTTAATGGTCATAGACGGATAATTTCAAAGGGGGAACATTTATTCATGTTTTTTCTTTTTCTAAATGATTGCTTTATTAATAAAATCTTTTTTGAGAAAACCCTTCTAGTGCCATTTGAGTGTGTGTGTGTGTGTGTGTGTGTGTGTGTGTGTGTGTGTGTTGCAGTGTGAAAGTGAAGTTGTGTGTAGCAGGAACAGCTGTATTATTTCTTAGAATGTTTGGAGCTCTCTCCTTCTATACAAGGTCCACCTACATTTTCTTGGGTTGCTAGTCCAGATCAGCACCTGTTGGAAAATTCATCCTTTCCACCTTCTTACAGCCACTCAGTGGTGGACTTTGCCTGCCTGTCCCTCCTCATCAAAGTGCACATGCCATGTGTGGCTGTGCCTGAGGTGTTTGCCTTGCAGATGCCCTTGCCAACATCGATTTTCCTTCTTGTGGTGCTTACTCTGGCCAGCACGGCTGGTCTCCTCGGGACATCCCTGTCCCTGTCCCTGTCCCTGTCCCAAGCTTGGGCTGGATGTCTTTGTGTCGTTTTCTTATTAAGCCTTCTTCAAGCAGTGGCATGGATTTTCCAAAGCATCCTGTGCCTCTCTACTTTTCTGGTGTCCCATGTATGCTAGGCTCACCTGCTTCCTGTTGGGAGAGTGTGTCTCTGACCCTGAGCACTGAGGCTCTTGGCTTGGGGCTCAGGTGTGTTGTGTCTACCTGGCCAGTGATCTCTCTCACATGTGTTGCTGCACAAACGTGTGCTGGAAGGTAGCTGAGCGGCCCAAGGTCAGAGGTCTGGGTCAGGACGGCGACTCTGCTGGTTACAATCAGGACTGTCACTGTCATCCCTGGCTCAGCTTCCAGTGGTCCCCACCATTCCTCCACCTCAGGTTCCCTTTTGGACATTCCGTGTCCTGCCGTGGCAGCTACACTCAGGGCACAGAACGTGCCCATCTACCAGTTAGAAATGCTGTGTTGGCTCTGGGAAAAGCCACCTCCCTTTCCCTGCTGCCAGCAAGTGCCTACCCACCAAGCCAGGTGCAGGTGGGCAGGCTCTAGTGCCCTGGAAGTGTCCCTCCAGCTCTGTAGGTGGGGCAGTCCTTGGCAGATCATCAGGCTGCCTGCTCTGACGGGTCAAGGAAAGTAAACAAGTGAGTCAGAAGCCAGCCAGCAGCCTACTCACCCGCATGCAAAAGAAATGCCTGAATCCCAGACCTTTCACCAGAGTCCCTGAAACCTGGTGATTGAGGGGTGGTAAACTCCCTGGAGAAGGAGTCATTTGTTCATCCCCAAGGAAGAGAACGCCCTGCCGTCACCTTGCACAGAGCTTCCTGACAAGAAAGGTCGGGAAGAGCCTCGTGCCTCCCCTTTCCCAGCAGGGCTTAGGACTCGCATCTCAGATGCCTGCAACAGCATGGCCCCTTCCCCGGTGCATCCTCTCAAAGTTGTGACGTGGTCCTGCTTCCAGGGACCTCAGTCTGTCCCTCAGCCGTGCGGCGTCCTTGCTGTGCCAACCAAGGAATACCGAGTGCTGCCGGGCACACCTCGGGTCAGACAGGAATGAGCCCCACAAGCATTTCACTGTGCACAGGGCTCCGCGGCTCTGCAGCCTGCAGTGAGCCCCACAAGGAGAAACCATAGGAGGTCTCTGCTGTGTTTATCTGAATGGCTGCCTTTCTACTAGTTGTTGGACATTATCAGCCTGTGAGAAGTCAGATATCGATAGAAAGCATGTTATTCCAGTGAGTTGCTCAATGTTAGCATTGTAAACGCTAGTCCAGAAGGTAGCGTCTGGTGATGACTGGTTTCCAGTCCCCAGCTGGCACAAAGCAGAGTTCTGTTCCAGGTTTGAGCCCTGACTCACTACGACTCTTATTTTCATGTGTGCTTTGTATGGTCTGCTGCTTTGGGTTAAGTCATCACCAGCATGTCCTAACCAACTTGGAAACACAAACAGTTGTTACTCTCAGTTCACCTCTGGGCTGTAGTCTTCTCATGAAGATGTCATTTGGTGGGTGGTATATGTTTAGTTTGATCTTGAGAACCTCTGTGTGTCCTTAACTACCTGGAAATGCCTCCCATTAACAAAAAAATGTGTTTTACTGTTGTGTGCAAGCTCATAGCTGCCCAGACATTTTAACACATCCTGGCTTTCCCAGGGATAAACGTCCCATCTTTCTTCATCATTTGCTGGGCCAGCCCTGTTGTCTTTAATCTAAGACTCCAGAGAATTTGCTGGCTCCTTTTGGGACAGGATGCCTGGCGTAGGTAGGTGCCTAATTGGCACGGGGTTTCCCTAGCCTGGAGCAGGCATCTGTTTGAACCCTGTCCATCATTAATGATTCTTTTTTGCTACACAGACTTGGCTGTGCACAGCCCTGTCACAAGGGCCTGGTAGCTTGTCCCGGCGAGTGCTGGGCCTTTCACTTCTGAAGTTTCCTCCAGGACCCTGCTCCTGGTTGGGCCTGTGGCGTTTCAGTGATGGGTTAAGAGTCGCTTGCTTACCTCACAGGCTGTCTGTCTCCCTAGCAGGCACTCTGAGATAGCTTTCCCCAGTCTCCTCCAGTGAACCTCTAAGTTACTAATTAGTTTTCTACCTCATCCCTGCCGGTATGTAACCCCTTCTTTGTGTCGGTTAATTGGAAAGAGCCCAGTTTGCAGATCATCTTCAGCGTAGTGTATATAGAACAGTGCTGTCCATAGAAATAGAACGTAAGCCACACATTTAACGTTTTTAGCCACTTGGAAAAACTAGTGGCAATAATTTAAGCAATTTTTAATCTTTTATGTCTCAAATACCACATAAATATTCAAGTATAAACCCCACTACATTCTCTGTAGTTTCCTCCCTCTGTAAGTAGCTGCTCCCTGGACGTGTGTCCATGGCTGCTGGGCTGGCCTGTGCCCCGGTAGCTGCTTTTCTCCTCCAGCCTGCTTTCCCTCTGACCATTCTTAGTCTGCACATAGAACCCCTCTGTAAGTAGCTGCTCCCTGGACGTGTGTCCATGGCTGCTGGGCTGGCCTGTGCCCCCGGTAGCTGCTTTTCTCCTCCAGCCTGCTTTCCCTCTGACCATTCTTAGTCTGCACATAGAATATCAAAGCAGCCATCTTTGGGAACCCCCTGAACAAATCTGTTTTGAAGCAAGACCTCACATACATGAATAAAAGTGTTTTTCTAGAAGGGAGGAGATTTATTTTTTTCCTTCTGTTTCCCATACTTTGGGGCAGGGCCAGTTGTATATTAGAAACTGGGCAGACCTTGAGTCAATCCATCATAATTTCGTCATTTTCCTGGGAGAGGTTAGGGGAAGAGAAAGACACCTTGGTGAAAACTGGGACCTCATATATACATATAGACAGCTAAGTTGAAGACTTTTTTTCCTTCCTGGTTTCTGAGATTTGAGGTTGATGGGGGATTGTCCTAGACTGACTGGTCGTGTCCCAGATTTGTAACAGTGAACTCACAGTGGGGGAACTACGTGCAGATTGCCACCAGAATTGTGGAAAGAAGTTTGTGAACAGAGTATTTTGTAGCACTTTAGTTGTACAAATGAGTGTTCTTTTCTTTTGGTACCAGGGATTGAATGCAGGACCTTGTGCTCACAAGGCAGGCACAGTACCACCTGAGCTAAGTCCCTGGCCCGTGAATTTTCTTGAGTTACTTAAATCCCTTTACTCTCACTAAAATCGTATTTTGAGAATGTGAGAGCTCAGGCCCATTTCTTTTGAATAATACACTTATTTTCATTAGAAGGGAGGGAGGGTTTAAGTAAGCCAATCTGGATTTTATGCATGCAGTAAATTAGTGCATGTAAATGGATGTTCTTTCAAAGTGGGGACCCTTCTAAAACCATACTTGTGTTTCTGATGTGAATGTGTATGTGGTATTGACTGCTGGGGGACCAGAGACTTGCATCTACAGATCGCTGATTCTTTCCTGTTTAGAGAAACACAGTGGTGTCTTTGAGTCCACTTACTCTGGTTGTGAGCTGTTACCTCAGCCATTGTCCCTTTCTTGGGTTATGAAGATTTATCTTTCTTCACAAAAAATGTGTCTCAACCCAAGCGGCATTGACTAGATTGTCCTCGTTCCTCCATCACACATCACATGCAGCCTCTGAGTGCTAGCAAGGCTGCTTTGTGTGCGTGGATGTCCCAGAAATCAAATCACTCTCTTGGCCTTTGCTGCCCGTCTCGTTCCATGTGTATAATTGTGTTTGTGATGCTGTACCTTGCTTGCTGTACCACAATAACAGGGGGAAGCAGAGAGAGACTATGATAATAAGAAAATCAGACTGGAGAAAGAAGTCAAACCACAACCCTCTTTGTCTTCATCCTCCCACAAAGAATCTTCTAGAACTAAGTGAGTATGGCGATTAGGCACAGCCTAGAGGGGTTCTCAGTCTTCTTGGGTCCTGACAGGACAGAGAAAGGTTGTCTTCTGCAGCAGATTGACGAGCCTGTTCGAACTTGTTAGACCAGCGTGTTCAGTTTGTCCTGTGTCCCTGTCACCCGTGGGCACCCATAGGGACTGACATTTGGTTTGGCAGCAAGTTTAGATTTTACCAGAAGGCTTTGCATGAAGGAGAGTTTTCTAGACGTCCAGAGTTATTTAAGAAAGGCACTCTTGGGCTGGGGACTTATGTCAGTGATGTTGCCCCCTGCCTTGGAAGAAAGGCACTCTTGTCCCTTCTTTGCAGAATAGCAAACAGTCCCAGAGAGAGAAGACAGTGGCCAGGGTCCACGCTGTCCTCAGAATGAGAGAAGCTTGGACAGCAAATGTGGTGTTACCAGAGGGTGTCATAGGAAAGGAACTGTTGTCTACTTTTGATTTATTCAAGAAATGTCTTCACATCTGCTTGGCCTAAGTGAAGACACAGTGTTCTCCTATGGGAGCTGCAGAGAGGGTTCAGTTTGGAGGTGCAGTTGGGCCACCTGCTTGACAGGCAGGGACCAGTTGAGGTGAGAGAGAACAGCAGACTCTGCAGGTGCAGTTTCTCACTGCACCTGCATTATTACTAATGGATGGGGCTGGAGGTTTCACAGGCATCCAAAAGTACCTAAAAATTGACCTTTCTGAAATACGGGTGCAAGCATTGTGACTGCACTCTTTCCTGCAGCATCAGTTTCATCTTTTATTGCTGAGAGGTTTGATTCTGTTCTGCCTCAACTTTGTCTGATGTTTCACTCCAGGACTCCCAAGCCCTCCTCAGAGCCCTCAAAAAAAGAAATGCTTCCCCCTCCACCTGTGTCCTCCTCCATGTCCTCCTCATCCTCCCAGAAGCCAGCCAAGTCTGCACGTAAGAGGTCACGGCAGGAAGCAGACCTCTGTCAGGACCCTCCCCAAAGTGCCAGTGGTACCAAGAGCAGCCAGAAAGACCTTTCTGTTCCCAAGCACAGGAAAGCCCAGGGCAAGGGCTCTGGAAGCTCTTCGGAACACAGAGTAAGTAGGAATCAGGAGCCGGGGAGAGGGTCCTGGTGTCGGTGCTTCAGAGCCATTGTTCTGAGGTAACTGGCAGGAACACCTTGGGTTTAAAGTTGTGCTGCTTGGAGGGTGAATACAAGGTCATTTTACCCAGATAATTAAGTGCCAGTTTGTCTTAAAATGATTCTGAGTGGAAAAAAATCAGAATCATACATTATTACACTAATTTTCAGTTAGATGTTTTGCAGAAAGAAATGGTTACCCCAGAGAGTTCTTCTTTGAATGTTTGATCCTGGATACTTTATTTGCTGTAATGGAAAAAAGTAACCACTTTCTCAAATCAGCATCCTCTCTTCCTGTTAATGCTCGAGAATCCTTGCGTGTGTGTATTTTTAAGTGGAAATGTCACGAGTCGCCCACTGCCTTGAGCATTCTCATCTCGACATGCTGAGTCCCCAGGACAGCCAGAAGCTGTGGGTTCCGGTGTCTGTAGGGGGAAGGTCCATGACCGAGCTGAAGTGCGGTGTCTGCTTTACTCCTGTGCAGGCACTTTTGGGGGCTACTTAAGAGAGATACTACTTTTAGGTCAATGATCTTTAGGGTTAAAATGTAATCTAGTATATATTTCTTTTAAACAGGGACCTGGAGATACTGCAAATCCCTTTCCAGTGCCTTCTTTGCCAAATGGTAACTCTAAACCAGGGAAGCCTCAAGGGAAGTTTGACAAGTAAGAGTCTGGATGCCTCCTGCGTGTTCTTGTTTCCCTGCCCTCCTCCTCCCCCACCCCCGCTTCCCATTATCGCCTCCTTGGTCTTCTTCAGCTGCCTGTCTGTCTCATCATTTCCAATTCCTAGGACCCAGCCTTCCGTTTCTCTTTTCTCAGACAGCAAGCTGATTTTCACATGAAGGAGGCCAGAAAGTTGAAGTGCAAAGCAGAGTCAATGGTCAGTCTTGGCTTTCTATTCCTTTGGCAGAATGTTTTGATTAAAAAAGTGTGGTCTGTGATCTGTGGTACTGTATGTGTGCAGGGCATTGGGGTGGAGGAAGAAGGAGGAGGGCTCTGTGAGTGGGAATCGGGGTTTGGGGGAGCAGGGGATAAGATGTTCCGGTGGAGTTGTGTTCTTTGGTTCCACTGATTCAGTCCGATTATGGAGAGATTTGTACAAAGACCCTAGTCGAATGGAAGTTGATCCAGCTGCTAGTGATATAGTAGGTGAGTTCGTTTCACCAAAACAATTCTTTGCATGTGAAAAACAAGTCCTACTAATGAAAGTCAGCCAATTTGTGACCATGCTGAAAAGTTTTATGAAGTGAGGAAGTCCGTGTGCATCCCAGACTAAAGCCCTCAGTGCCTGGCTTGACTGAAGAGTTAGCTGAGCCCATTAGATGACAGTTCCAGATGCAGGTACTAATGGTGCTGTGGGTAAACATACCTGGAGGTATGGATTCTGTTGACTTGCTGACCTTTGGACTTTCTGGAAGGTGAAGGTTTGTTATTAATTGCCTCTGTGATTAAATATGCTTTTATATTGTTGCTACAGTATAATGGGATGATGTGTAAGCATCGGAACCCCCAGGCTCTTATCTGTAGAGTATGCTTCCGAGACCCAAACCCTATAAACAGGCAGCCCTTCCTGGAAAGGTGTGTTGCCACAGGAGAGAACAGGACTGCCAGGGACCCAAACCAGCACATCCACAGTGGTCACAGGGACCGAGTCCTGGGGTTCCTGACCCTCCAAGAGGGGCGTTCTAAGACCCCCTAGCAACTCCCCATTCTTTAAGCAAAATATCCCTTGATTCCTTCCCACACCGGATGTTCCTGCGGAGTCCAGGGTAAGTCCCTAGACAGGGTCGCCTGAGTCAGATCACAGCTGCACTGAGCAGTGGTCCTCCTTACCACTTTCTGATATTGAGACTGGAACTGGGTGATTCTCGAGTCTGGAAAAAGAGTAAATACTTAGCACTGTCAGCCAGTTGTCTACAATTTACCTCAACATTGGACACTGTCCGCACTAGATTCCCTGTTATTCAAAAGATTAAGATGAGCGCTGAGGGGAGTTGGTTTAGGTTTTACTCTATAGAGAGGCACAACTTCTCTCTCTCTACACGAGGTGACCAAGCATCCCAGTGTGCCAGAGCAGGTCTGCTTATGTTTACTGGAGCCCAGTGTGATAAATGATACATCCCATTCTGCTCTCAGAGCCTGTGGTCTGGACAGTAATCTGTAAGACCACCTTCGTAATTGCATAATGCCTCAAAGGTATGTTTGACATTTCACAAAGTTAAGATGTGCATGCCTGAGAACAGATGAGTGTATTTTATCTTTGTGCCGTGCTTACTACTGAGTGCAGGAATTTGGTCTCTGCCATTTTAAATCAGTTCAGGAGATTTACGAGCAACCACAGGGATAGTGCTTCCAGGCATTGCCAACCTTCCTTGCAAAGTAGTTAAGGAAGAGGATGTTAACTAATTGCTCTATCACACTGTAGTTCTTTGCTTCTGCCCCAAGGCCAATAGAACTTTTGGAATATCCTTGAAAAAAATGATTTTGAATCAACAAATTTTCAGTATTAGCTTTCTATCAGCGTAACAAACTGGTCATGCCTTATCCTGCTAATGAATTGAGGCATGTTAATATCAATTTATTCTTTTTGTCACTAATATTCTGAGCCTAGATTATCTAGGAAAAATATTTATTTAAAATCGTGTTAGGTCTAAAATGTAAAATCTAGAGCACTAATGCTGAGTATTCTGGAATAATATACATGTGCGTGCGCATTTGCCAGCCTAATCTGGTCCCTCCTGGGACAACAGGAAGACAACATGGCCTCGGTAATAGCTTTGAGGCTCCTGTCGCTGCTGGCTGTGCGGTATGAATGCCCAGCAGCCCGGAGCCCTCTCCTGGGTGTCGCGTCCACATACGTCTTCCTGGGGCATCCCGGTCATCGCCCTTTTCATCCTCTTTGAATGGATCCCTTTGAGAGCACTGGCACTGTTAACCAACTCGCAGTACAGACGTGTGGTGTTGCGGCCAGAAGTGGAGAAAGAATGAGTGCCCCTCACACAGTGATGGGTTGGATTGACTTAGCTGTATTGTGCTACTCAGCGGAAAGAGGATTAGTGATAAAGTGTTTATTGAGGTTAAGGTGGCCACCGATATCTGATTGCACTTTTCTGCAGTCCCTTTAAGGCACACTGAAATTTTGTCCTGGTTGTCACAGGTCATGGCCGTGTACGCCAAACCAAGGCGCCAAAGGAGATTAATCCATTGGGCTCTAAAGTGCATGAAAAGATGACTGTCAGATATTTTATGTAAGATGCTCAAAAATCACAATGAATGTTTTCTACCCACAAGGTAGACCTCCATTCCTACAGAGACTTGTGTCTCCAGTGCCCTAGATGTGCAGCATAATCTAGTTCTTGAGGAAGTTAGGTAAAGAGTAATTGCGTGCTGATAGCAGGGAGTCTGTGCACATGTATTTCTGGGAGGTGTGAGAGAGTAACCTGAATGTAGGACTTCTGTCTTCTTCCTGATGAGTTTCGCTAGTTCTCTGAGTAGGCAGTCGCTGACAGGCGCCGTTACCTAGCCTCTCAGTTCACTCATCGTCACACTTTCTAAGCATGACTAAGCTCAGACAGTAAAGTCCCAGGAAGTATGTGGGTAAGGAACTATAAAGAACAGGCTGTCTTGGCCTAACAGCGACTGTTTTCCTGTAGACGGACAAGGTGGGGAAGGCCTTTAAGTACTTGGATGCCGTCCTGTCCCTTCTCGAGTGTGGGATCGCCACAGAGTCAGAGGGCCTGGCCACCAAGTCGGCGTACTCTGTGTACTCGGAAGCTATGGATCTTGTTAAGTAAGTGCCGGTCACTGTGCTCTTCTCGTGCCTACTGCACTTTGCTTGCTTCTGTTGCTTAATCCACGTGAACCTGTTTGGAGACCGCTCTGTACAGGGGATGCTTGAAAAGTACAGAGGTGGGTGCAAGCTCCACAGAGAAGCATCTGCCTGGTGTGCAGGAGGCTGTGGACTCGACTCCCAGCACTGAAAAGATAAAAAAATAAAAAAGCTGTTGGTTCAAGAACAGTTTTTATCCTAAACTAAAACTGCTCTAGCTGAAGCCTAGCCCACAGGGTACCATCTTGCCGAGTGCACTGAGCAGTATGAGACTGTGGTTCACCCTTCCGGCTGTCGTGTGTCTCCCTGATTGCAACAGTGGCCCCTTGGGGACGCAGCTGTACCTGTGCCCATGGAGCCGGGATGGCTCAGGGTCAGCGTTTCGCTGTCGCTCTCCCATCTCCATACCTCAGAACCACTGTGGGAGCTGTGTGAAGTCAGGGCACCCAGGCCCAGGTCGCTGCCTGCCTTGTTTAACTCATTGTTTTCTCATCTCGCTGCAGGTTCACGATGTCACTAAAACCCTGTGACACCACCACACAAGAGAAAATATTTGCGGTTTTATGGTGTGTATTTTGTACTTAGTCTAACTTGCCTTGATTTTTGTTTCTTTTGATGTTTTAAAAATTCTGTTTTAACCTGAAATTTATGGTGAAAGCCAAGTCAATGCCTTCGCAAGTGGTGGATCCCCCTGTTAATTATGAAAATGACATAGCACCGGCTCACTGGTGACTTTGGAATGCTTCAGTCTTGCTGTTAAAGTTTTATTGTGCGTTTGTGATTTGGGGTCAGTATTTACTCTTGGCACAGTCTGATCTGTCCAAGAAGAGTCTGGGGTGACCTGGCACAGGTGGGTTGGCTGGCTGTGTCCCGTGGCAAACTCGTCCTGTTTGGGGTTGGACGCGCCTCTTGTGACTTCTGTGTCTTCACAGCATGCGCTGCCAGTCTCTCCTGAACATGGCGATGTTTCGCTGTAAGAAAGACATAGCAATAAAGTATTCCCGCACTCTGAACGAACACTTCAAGAGCTCTTCCAAAGTAGCCCAGGCACCTTCTCCATGCATTGCAAGGTAATCGTGTCTAATTTAAATAATTTACAGAATGAAGTCATTTTTTATCTCTTGCTTTGCAGCTATTTGTGTATGTGGTAGGGGGAGGACTTTGGCTTTTCAAAACTTGCATGCATCTGTGTGCTGGTTTGTTTCTTCAAAGTAAATCACTAGCTTTTTCTGCTTTTTTGAGGAGAAGTTGCAAGTCAAGGTTTAGGCTGATGGCTAGCACAAAAGGTACAGTCGTCCCTTCTTAGCTATTGTTGGTGCGTTCCACACCCCTAGTGGACACCTGGACCTGCAGCTATTATGTAGCCCCCTCCATAAGCTTTTCTGTACAGAACTATAAAAATATGGGCCAGGGATTTAGCTCAGTGGTTCCGCTGCCAGCCTCGCAAGCACGAGGACCCCGAGTTCGATCCCCGGTACCCAATAAAACCGTATAAAAATGTACTTTCTGTGTTAAGCATAGTCAGAGGTTAACCACATAGTGATGTGGCTCGCTGGCAGAACCCTTGCCTAGCAGGCATGAAGGCCCTAGGTTCTCTCCCTGTCACTGCGGGAAAAAACCCCAAACCAAACACAGTCCTGTAATGTAAGATATGTAAATGTTTCTTCTCTCATGCAAGACAAATACTAAAATTTTTCAGACCATGGTTGACAGCAAGTAACAAAAATTGTGGAAAGTGAACGCATGGCTAAGAGGGGCCTCCTGTAATCTTCAGGAGCATACAGTCTGCAGTGTAGGCTCCTGGGTCTGGGCCTTGGGATCCCCTGAGAACAAAGAGCCCTGGAATCAGAGCCGGTATCCTTTCTTCTGTGCTACATCCACTTGGCAGTCAGTAATTGGGGCTTTGCGGAACTATGTGCCATCCCCATTGCCAGGCCCCACACTGGGACAGAAGGAGTGACACAGTCACACCCGGCAACAGTGTTTCGCTGCTTTGTGAACACAGTTGTTTACCTGTGGTGTAGGATGTGGAAAACAGCATGCTTGTGCAGTTGTTTGTAGGATGGGGGTGGAATGTTCTTCTCTCCATGGTCCTTTGTTAGCAGTTTTTAAAAATTTTCATCCTATTCCTTGGAGAATTCCCAGTTCTGAGAGGGAAGTACCATTCGCTCTTGAAAATGTCACCACTCCAGTGCCGAGCTACTCCAGTTCTGAGACACTCAGTCACATTGCTGTTTGCAGTGCCTTCAGCTGCTGCTCAGCAGGGCACCGTCTTTAGGCATTTGTTTGATGTAGGTTCTGCTGCTCTGCAGCGCTCTCCAGTCCTGGCAAGGGTGACTGCCCCAGGACATGTCTCCTGCCAGGCTGCTGCTGCTGGCCCTTCCATCTTAGAACCACTCAGTGCTTACATCTGAGTGATTTCCCTCCACACTGAGATACACAGTACCTTGTATGACCAGGTACTCAGCCAAGGCAGAGGAAAGCTAATGTCCAGTTTCCTGACCTATGCTACCACCCTTCCCTGTCCTTCCCAGGTCTGCCCTGCTTTGGTTGATGAAACAAGTCCCCAGGGACCCACCAGCAGCCTACCTGCTCTTAGCAGCTACCAGTCCTAGGTTTAGGGTTAGCAGACACAGATTGTTAAGACCGTCTCTGCCTTCTTGGTGCTGGGACTTGGGAGGAGGGAGTTGAATGCACAGAGATTAGGTGGTGACAGAAAGGAAGACTTTCCGTCCCGCAGTGTCCACACCGAGTGCCAGGTGTAGAGTCGGGCTCAGGGTCCTGTTTAGGGAGTAGATGAAAGCAGTCTTCCCAGCATGCCTCGGAATCGGGCATGGGAAGAGCATGGATGTCAGAAGAGGAAGTGAGAAAGTGTGCCTGGAACACGGCTGAGCCCACCTGGTGTCCCTGACCTTATAGGAGTGATGTAGCAGTGAGTGCCACTTGGGTGAGGACACAGTGAGTCTTTGTGACTTGGACTGCAGCTTCAGAGAGAAAACATTGATTCTCCTCTCCCTTTCACCCTGCCAGAAGCACAGGCGCACCATCCCCCCTCTCCCCAATGCCGTCTCCTGCCAGCTCTGTCGGGTCCCAGGCCAGTGCTAGCAATATTGGGAGCAGCGGGATGACAGCCACAGTCAGCACCCCCGTCACCATCCAGAACATGACCTCCTCCTATGTCACCATCACATCCCATGTCCTCACTGCCTTTGATCTTTGGGAGCAGGCAGAAGCCCTTGCAAGAAAGAACAAAGGTAAAGGGTTCTGGCGGTGATCGCTGGGGTGTGGGCAAGGGGAGAGGAGTGTGAGTGGCTTGGATTTTATGTCCCATTCCTTATAGAACAGGGACTGCATGCTGTTTGCTCTCATCTCCATTCTGCTCAGAATCCAGTCGCAGTTCTTTCTTGAGCTCTGTCTGGCACAGGGTTGGGTTCCTGTAGTTAGGTCCACAAAACCAAATTAGAAGCAGCTTTAGCACCTTGCCTTCCTAAGTCCTGTATCATACTCTCTGAGTGAAATGCTAGCAAAAGGACACAGAAAGCGAAGGTGGAGGTTCGCTGGCTGTTCCTAGGCTCGGCGTATTTGCAATAGGAAGTAGCATAATCCCAAGGCTGAGTTTGTTTGCTTGCAGCATATGTTAAGGAAGATACAGTTAGCTGCAAATGCAAAAGATGGCCTGTTAAACATTCTTGCAAAGAAAGCCCTTGGGGACACCCATGATTTAAGAACAGCAGAGCATGCAGTCAGGAGAACTGTTTAAGTCCCCACTAAGTAAATGCTTACATATGTGGTTGCCAGATTAAGGCCATTACATTTTTCTTTTTGGCTGTGGGAAGGATGCAGCTAGCTGGCTGTAGCCTCTACACTTCCCCACGGCCTCTTAGAGCTTTATCTTTTCTGAGCAAACTTATAATGTTATAATGCTTATAACATGGTGGGTTTTCTTGCGTTCGTTGGTCATCCACCCATTCATCCATGTCTGTAAAGTGCCAGGGACTGCTGGGCAGATTTTATGGATTCTACTCTGCAGCAAGCCTGGTCCCTGCCCTTTATAGGTGTCTAGCCTAGTGGAGGGAGGGGAGAATTAGCAAGCAGTCCATGAAAAGCAGAATGTTGGGAACATAGCTTCTGGAAACTTGACTTTTTCTGCTTTCGTTTTAATTTTTATGTTCATGTGTATTTACTTGGTTGGTTGGTTTGTTTTGCAGAATTCTTTGCTCAGCTCAGCACAAAAACATGCACCTTAGCCCTCAACAGCAGTTTGGCGGACCTGGTGCACTATGCAAGACAGGGTTTTCAGCGGCTAAAACAAGCAACCAGAACACCTTAACAGATGCCCAAGTTGACTCAGTGTCTTGGGAACCATTTTTGCACATTGGAAACCTTGGAACCAGTCTGGACTTTTGTCCCAAAAGGAGCTTTGTGAGATGATCCGTAAGCTGGTCCACTTACTCTTATGAGCTGTGTAACCATCAGTTGGACGCTGTGGCTATGCAGAAGCAGGGATGGGGTCAGCCTAGAGATGATCCTGCTTTTCTCTGGAGGACACAAGTGCAGTGTTGCCTTCCAGGCATGAGAATGGTCTGGGATCATTTCCCTGGGTTTTTTTGATTTGTTTTGTTCTGAACCAGTGGGATACACCTCTGAAAACAAATCCTTCTCATCTCAGTAGTCATACTAGGCCAACCCCAGAAGGAAATTTTTTTAAACAATGATTTTTGGTGAAAGGTCTTGTGGTTGATTTCTTTTTTTTAAGTTTTAGGGAGGATTTGTTTAGTAGAATTTAATGGCCATCTGAAAACGTGAATTGTGAAGGATTCGACTGTACCCCTTTCTGTCAGTAGCTCCAATGACACCAAGTATTGTCCTAATTTATAAAATCAAAGGAAACCCCATTGCCTAATGGACTGCACCCTCCCCCAAGCTTGGAGTTCTCCGACTGTGCTGGAAGCCAGCTCCAGATTCTAGTCATCAGAGGGACCTGGTGTCACTGTCCGTTCCCTGCTTCTGGGAAAGGAAGTTGGTGATAAGGCAGTCACCCTGGACTATCTTCTGAATTTCTTGTCTTAGGGAAGGGAATCAAGCTTTATACCTGACCAGATGGCTAAAGTGCTTTTTAATTTTTGTTTAAGCAGCACTGGAATCCAAGGTGCTGGTTGGTGGTCTGCAGCTATGTGGTAACTTGTGTGTGAGCAACTCTTGAGTTTTGTCAGTGAACAAAGAAAAATGAAATCTACTTCTTAGAGAGGCTATATTTTTCTGCTACAAATTATTTTATATTTATAGCAAAACTAAACTTTCTGAGCCTTTGATTGACTATAGGAAGTTAAGTCCCTGGGAGGAGACGGAGATTTGGAGGACTGATTACAGAAATCGTCACCACATGCCTTCTGTCCAGTGTGCTCAATCACTCAGATCTGGCGAGGTTGAAAAGGAACTGTGGCCTCCCCCTGAGCTCTTGCCACGCCATCTGCACTCAACCAGTTCCTTCAGAATGACTAAAAGGAAAGGACACATTCAGGATTTCCACACGTCTGTCACACAGGTTCTCATCCATGGAGACTTTGAAGGAAGGTTCATGTTGGAAATACTCTTCTGAGTGCAGTGTTGTTTTAAAAGCTGACTTTTTTTAACCCCATTTAGAAAGTAGAATTTGCACATGTATTACACTTGAGGAGTGTTAACTCTACCATTAATTGGTTAATTTACTACTCCCCCTTCAACCCTATCCATGCTCCACGTATTTCTTTCCAAGCATGTTTCATAGTTTGGTATTTATTACTTGTGAAGAATGAAGATGTCTCCAGTGCCTGTGGTGAATGTTAGAAGTCTCTTCGTTGTACGGTGCCTCTGTAAAGGGCCAGGTAGTAGATGGGAGCGATGCTTGTTTCTCTTCCACACAGCTGTCCACGAGGCCTTGTCTGTTAGCCTCACTTCTGCCTGTTCTCTCACCCTGGTTGGGTTAAAGCCATAGATGTCTGAGCAAAGACCTTGATGTGCAATCCTGACAAAGCAACTTCATGGTTGCCATAATGCAAACTCATGGTCTTTTTAAACTCCTAGTTTAAAAAACCTTGTGACAGTAATTGCTCAGCAGGTTGTGTGTGTGGTGTTGTGTGTGAGTCTTGTGTGGCCTGTGCAGTGTAGTTGCCACTTGTCCTTGCTCCGTTGGCTGTTCCCTCACTGCTGGGGGTGTCCCTCATTGAGCAAGCTGCCTGTCACGTGTACAAGTTGATTCTCTGCAGAGTATGTGTCCTCCCTGCGAGCCGCCCCGCTCCCTTGACCAGAGATATTTCTCAGCAATTCTCAAAGATCAGATGGCTTTTCCTATGCCCTTATTCTTTGTAGGATTTTTCCCCCCTAAACCATTACATTTTATCTCTCCCTTGAAAAACTAACAAATTTGGACAAATCAATTTGCACTCTTAAGTCACTGCATATTTCTGATTCTGACTACAATTGTACTAAAAGGGCGGGGCTGGGCACCCTTCATGTCCACTGGTGGTTTTGCTGTTACAGTTGTGTATAGAAATTTGTATAGAAAGATTTTTTAAACCATTTACACTTTTTCACTGCATGCTTACAATTCCCAGTGGCAGAATTTATATTGAGGTAGAACATTTGAGAGAACTGCATTATAAAATTCTCTGAACATGTGATGTCATCGTAACAGCAATGGTACTCACTTCACACTGAGGTCAAGAAAAGCATCTTAGGAGCAAGCCTAGGTCCAGGGGTCTAGCTCAGCGGTGCTGCACCTGCTTCGCAAGCGCAACGTCCTGAGTTGGATCCCAGGCACCACACCCTACCTCCAAAGTCTTGCGTTTGCCATGACAGGGTGTGTGCACGTGTACACAGCAGAAAATGGAAGAACACTTTTACTTTAAAAAGTGTCAAATGATTCTGTCCTGGAGATAATTAAAATGTGAATCTACGAACTTAGAAGCTCTGCTAAATAACAAAATACACTATTGAAATATACCAAATTATACTTGGTTAAGAGTGTGAAAATACAGGCCACCTTGTAACAAGGTGAAGAATCGAGGGGCCAGCAAGCAGTTATCAAGAGTTTATTACAATAGGGTAATTGGACCGTCTTATGTTATGACTGAATCACGGTATTGAACTGGAGAAGCATTTTTTTTTTAAACCAAAGGGCCTTCATTTTATAGATGTTTTGGCCAAAATGTGTAGCCGTTTTCCCCAACAAATAGGACCACGTTTACCTCTATTTTTCTGTGTCCTTTAATTCCAGATCTCAGGATGTTCAGAAGCTTAACAAAAGCTGTTCCCTTTCTGACTGAAACCTTGCCTTAACAGGTCTTACATATTATTGGCAGGATCAGCTTACTCTTGTGTTCTGTCACAACTTAAAAGCGAAAAGGAAACCACTGTGTCCTCCAAGCTGTTATCTCTGCTATAGAAGAGAATAAGAGCTGAGTCCATTAGAGTGCATGTTGTGCCTTTGTTGACCAAACCTAAGTTTGAAACAATGTCTGTTTATCCACAGCTTCAAGGGATGTTACGGAGGTCTTACATCTTTTACCCTTCTGCTTTATAAAGTTTGACCTGTGCATCTTAAGGTAGTTGGGCTTTTTAAAAATGTATTTCAAAAGTTTCCATGTCTCCTACCAGATTTTTCTTAATGATTTATAACCCCCAGTACAACAAAGTGTTTGAAAAACTATCTGTTACACCTTTTACCACGAATAACCAGTATTTTAAGTTTTGCAGGAATTCTTAAGTTGTCTTTGAATACCCAAGGATAGGTCTCTGGCTGGTGGGGAGGTGCAGTGCAGCTGTGGGACAGTGCTGGGTCACAGGCAGTGATACTTCTTTTCCCCGTGTTTCTAGTGTCTCCTGTCTTTTCTGGTTGATTCCATTTGGAAATAATGGCTGTAAGGTATTTCCCTGTGCCTTTACTTTGCGTTCTTTTGTTGTGGGGAGGTGGAATGGCAGGGCAGCATGGTGTTGGGGATTGCCCTCTCAGCATGGCAAGTGGTGGTTACACCCCATGTCCTCAGATGTGCAGCTGTGCTGGTTTCTTGGTGACTGAAAATGCACATCTCAGTCATTGTGAGCACTGGGCATTTCTTTAGTTCTTAATTATGATACATTGATGAGCACCATCCACCACTTTTCTTTATGTGGCTGTACATTTTTTGCTGAATCGCACTAAATTCTGTTCCCCTGTGCATTGAACACACCAGGTACTGCGTGCAGTAGAGCAGGGCCCACACCTCTGTACTCAGAGGGCGCATCAGAGGACAGGATGGAAACTCTACAGCTCCTAGGGAGCCTGTACATCACTCAGCTGGCCCGGGAGGACAAGGCAGGCCACTGGCAGATGGCAGGCTGGCCAGACAGTGGCTGAGCTGGCCCAACGGGGGCGACTTGCAACTTGCTTGGTGTACAGTAGATGTTCATGCAGTGCTCCAGGCAGGCAGTGCTCCGTTTGCCTGTATTCAGGCCATGCCGTATTGTTGAGGAGACTGCACACCCTTCCCTCAGAAGCCAGATGGACACTGTTGGCCGTGGAGTGTGTGTGCATGTGTGTATGCCTGTGGCCCAAATCTTCTCTCTTCTGAATGTGATCATGTTTTCGATGATACCTGCGCAGGGTTGCCTTTTTATTTATTATTATATATTATATATTTTTTGCTGTCTTATACTTTAGAGGAAAGTCAAATCTTGGTATTATTGAAATTGTTTTTACAAAGGAGTGAATTGTCCAGTTGATAAATGAGAATCACTAGGTCGTCTTTAATGAGCTTTCTTTAATGAGTATGGAACAATGTGCCGGCTGTTGTCACAGTGATTTTGTACAGAGGCTGAGGAGGCAGCGGTGCTCTCAGTGGGAAGATGTGCAACGTGAGTAAGGCGATGCTGTGTATTTACCTCCTTCAGCAACAGAGCTGTGACTTGGGGCTTTTGTGGGTACAGCTTAGCTGCCTTGTATAGTCCTTTAAAAGAGACGTATGTGGTCTGTGAGAGAATTAATTTTTTTTTTTTTTTTAGAAAAAAATTTGCAAAAGATCTTTCCAAAGATAATGTGCCACAGATCTTTTGTTCTCTGTAACGAGGATTAAATGCTGTTTTTTAAAATGTAATTGATTTATTCATCTTCAAATTCTTTTCACAAGAGAATCAAGCTGTTACAATAAAATTAATAAAAATTTACAGAAACCACTGGGGTGAAATCCATGCTTTTATTCATTGCCTGAATAAATTCTTTGATTGCTGTGTGAAATTGCTGCCGACAGTTTACGAGTTTCATGTAGAACAATGTACTGTCGTTCACAAGTGTATTTGTTGCTGAAATGGGGAAAGAAATGTGGTCAGGAAGAGCTCACCTTTCCGCTTGGTTTCCCAAGGTCATAACCACACACAAGTTCATCTAAGATCAGTGGTGCTTAGCCTCAAGTGAACCGAGCGCGTCCAGGATCAAGGTCACGTGTTTTGAGTGTGTTGGGTAGAAGGTGGCGGTGCTGCAAGAAGAAATCTTGTCATCCTTAAAGAAAGAATACGTCATTAGCTTCATGAAATCGGAAAAGACCTAAGCCCTGAAATGTGACTTCCCAAGGGTGGATCTTGGCTCCTGAGTCTCCCCTTTGTACCCACGTTGATATGGTGGTCTGCCTGGTAAGATTGCGGGGCTCACAACAGATGATGGGGGGTGCTCGCCACAGTGCCTCAGAAACTGCGGGCTGATTTTATTCTCTCCCTGACTGCACCAATATCTCAGTCTCTGCTTGAGCAGTGTTAACTCCCTTCCCATCTGGTCTGTATCCACAGGTTGGTACTAACTGGACAGGGCATACGGTGTGTGGGAAAGGAGTTTGTTCCCATTGAAAGAAAGCACAGGGAAGAACCCTCACTGTAACAGGCTTTCAAAGGTGGGTCATCAGCTCCCCTTTGCGTCTTGTTTGAAACTTAGGTCAGTAGTTATCCAGGTTGTACCATTTTACCAGCCTCCTTGTTGGATGCTCAGATTGTTTATGTTTTTCCCCCAGGTACTGGGGATCTAGCACTTTGGCAGTAAGGCATGGTGCCACTGAGCTACATCTCTGGCCCCTGCTGAGATTGTTTCTAATCTGTGGATATTATGAAGCTAGGAAGAATGTTTCCACAACAATCCCTGAAAAAATACTGGGGCAAATTTCAAACTATTCATTTCTAGAAGTGGTTTTAAGATGAAAAGATGCAATTTCTACATACTTGTTTTGTTTTTTGAGACATGGTCTTGATAATGTAATCCAGGCTGACCTCAAATTCACTATGTAACCCTCCCAGGCTGGCCTCAAACTCAAGGTGATCCTCCTGCCTCAGCCTCATGAGTGCTGGGATTACAAGCATGCGCCACCATGCCCAGCTCTTCATACTTTATTCTGGAAAATTTAAAACAAAATCTGAATAAATAGCAGTGATAAAAATTGTGGTGTTTAAATAATTTTACAATAAAAAAACATTGCCAGGAATCCCCTTCAGCATTCCCTGGCTTCTAACATCCTATTGTTGCCACTTCAAGACAGTTCTGGAAGTCGTCTGTGTCTCACATGTCGTCATCCCCAGCGCATGGGCTCTATGACCATTAGTCTACATGCAGTCCCAGAGCCCATCACTGGAGATGGGGGGAGTTATCTCTCCCTAAATCGTAAGGGATGAGTTCACCATGAGGGAAGCTCTGTTAATGCAGAAACAAGCTTAACAGTAAAAAGGAACAGGTGAACCACATGAGGGAGGGAAGCTTTTTCTTTTGGATTTATATATTCAGATGTGCATCTTTTATTAGATTATTTCCTATTAACTTTTGCTTTTCAGTTTTTATGATGGTATTTGAGTTTGTTAAGTAGACTTTGTCTACCATGTCCTTGGGGTTTCTGCTTTCAGTCTTGATGAGGTAACTGCAATTTCCCAGCCCAGTGTCAGGCAGATTTTCTGCCACCAAATACTGGCAGCAGCTTTGTGTGCTAAGTGGTGTCTCCTCTGGCTCCTCAGTTTTATATTAGCAAGAATTTAGGCACTTTTAGAGACTGCTTCACTTGCCTAGGCCTTTATTCACTCCTTGTCAAGGTTGCTGGGAATGTATATTGTCACCATCTGTGGTACCGTTTAGAAAATTACCTATGGAGCTGGGGATATAGCTCAATGGTGCCATGCCTGAAGGTCCAGAGTTCAATCTCCGGTACTGAAAATGGGGGGGGGGGAATCTATGAAGTCCACAGACTCCTCAAAACCTTTGCCAGCAACTCAGAAAGCTTCATGGATCTTTACCAAAATATAATCGGAGTTTCATCTGCTGTTACTGTGGTTGTGATTAGGTAATTGTACTGTCTGGTCTGTCCTGTCTTACTAACAGGACTCTCAGCATTTGTGGTTTCCCAGTAGACCACACTCAGCTGAAAGTAAGACTTAAGTGAGACGCCAAGGCTTAGATAATAGAAGCCTTTACCCTTCTAACAGACTGCAGGGCGGGACTTGAAATACTTACCAAACAGACTTATTTTAGCTTTCAAAGACCACGTTCCTACTCTATAAAAGTTCTTTAAATCACTCTTCTCTGATATGGGCCCAATCCTAGTATATCCTTTACAAAACTATTTCATATGTATGGGAAAGAAACGATTTTAGTTCTAATACCTTCACCACTAAGTATGCCTGTAAATTATCTTCAGTCAACAGTGTGAGAAACCAAGACCAGGTGCATGTACACATATTTTTCTACACGTACTCACGCTGGTGAAGGTGGAAAATCAAATATGCTCAACTGAATGGATTACAAAAAATGCCTTTAGTTGCTTTCCTACTTCTCCATCTTTGAACTGTAAAGAAACTGCAGCAATGTCTTGGGACCCTGGACTACAACTAAGGTCTTCACAAGAAATTTAAGTTTCCCACAGTGATGCTATACAGAAGGAATCTGGTGCATGCATCTTTGCTTCTCTTTTATAGGATAAATCCCTGGAAAAGCAACATCTGCCTCAAAGTGTAAGCCACGTTTTACAATTTTGATGTTGGCAAACTTTCCTTCTGTGTACGAACTTGCATTCTTCTTAGCTGTGGGCACAATGTTAAAAGCAATCTTACACTATTTCAATTTGCATTTTTCTAATGACGAAGCTGACCATTTAGTTACTGATGCATTGTTGGCACTTTGCATTTGCGTGTTAATAAACCCAGTGCCTCATGCATGTCAGACAAACACTATAACACTAAGCTACAGGTTAGCCCCTGGCCACTTATTTCTGATTCTACAGATGCCCGTTCCTGTACTTAGTTCATTTTCTATGACTATCTTTCCTAACGTGAATATGAAGACGCCTGGATCAAGCTGATTGGCTGCCATCCACTCTGGTTCTTCCTGTGTTAGCTGTTTACTGTACCTCAAAGACATCTTCATGGTGCTTCCAAGAGTTTCCATCTACCTACCTACCTTCCCAAAATACTGTGGGAAACAGTAATCATGCCCTAAGTCAGACATTTGTTTCCGTCACTGACCCAGGGTCCTGACCAGAAAGCGCCATTAATCTTTAAAATGTGTTTGTTACTTGACCAACCAAACAAATGATATTCAGATAAAATGGGACCAGTTCAATACTGGCAATGTTGAAACCCAATGGGTGTAAATGAATTTCACTATTGTTCTCTCTGTACTCCACAGAGCTAAGTCGAAAATCCATTGCCAAATGTCACTCCTAAGCTTTACTTTAATCCTATTAACCACTTTTTGCTTATTTTGAATGGAAGTAAAAAGCAAGGAAGACTGCTTTCTTGTCCGATATTTACTCACATCCACTGAACTTTGAGTGTTGCCTTTGTGTACAGACGTGCTTCAGAACATGTGTGGGCATAAATGATAGGTCAGGGTGTCCAGTGTCTAGATGGCTGTGACTTCTCTAACCAGGTACCAAGCTAACTTCAGATTGGGTGTTTGCTCGTGCAAGTAGCTGCTGTGTTTGCTTCCCGACACTCTTCTCCTAACGTGGGTGTCACTATTCAAAAGCTAACAGGCTGTGGGCTATTTTCAGCTGGACGGCCTGGCCTAAGCTGATTTATCTGTTAGGACAGCCCTCCTCCTGTGCCTCTGTATTTGCTGTTAGCACATTCCTAACCTAGAGTATAAATGTAAATAGGGAAGGAGTAAGGATTATGTTCTCTCCGGTTTACATTATTAGAGCCATCTTTCTAGTGATTTATAAGAGGATGAAATTTCAGCCCAAGACAAGCCATTTATTCAGTTTTTGATATAACAATTAGGCACAGGCTGTTGTACCACAGAAACTACACAGCCTGATACATTTCATTAGTACGTATTTGTAGCCTATACAGATCACATTCATCACTGGGAGTGGTACATGTACGTAACACGTCCTCATTTTTTGTTGTTTGATCCTTCACCTCACCTCCCTCATGGTTCCCTCCATCTCTTCTTGGTCCCCTGCCCTTTTGCAGATCTCACTACTTCCTATTAGCTTTTATTCCATGCACGCGCTCTGGTGCTCTCTCGTGCTCTCCCTCTCTCTCTCTCTCTATATATATATGTATATATATGAAACCATGTAATATTTAAGCTTGTGTGTTTGGTTATTTTACTTAACATTACAGTCTCAAGATCCATTTTCCTACAACTTGATGGCAGAATTGTGGTCCACTGTGTGTAAATGCCACGTTTTCTTTATCCATTCATCTGTTGATGGACATACAGATGGAAAGACTTAGCTGCTGTGAATTTGTGCTGCTGTGAACCTAACTGCATGTATCAGTGTAATATGTCTTTAACTCTTTTGGGAAGATACTAGTAGTGGAATTTCGTTTTAGTTGTTGGAGGAATCATACTGATTGCCACAGGGCTTGTACTAGTTTACATTCCTACTGACAATGAAGAAGGGTTCCTTTTCCTCTGCAGCCTCACCAGCGTTTGTTATTTGATTTCTTGATGATGGCCATCCTTTCTTGAATAAGATGGAATCTGTGTTGTTTTAATTTGCATTTCTTCAGTGGTCTGAGATTTTTTTCATGTATTTATTGGCCATCTGTATTTCTTCTGAGAAGTGTTCATTCATTTCAGTTGCCCACTTTTTGACTATGTCTTTCCTTTTGGTGGGGGTCCTAATAGCTGGCAGAGTGTTTTTTTGTTTTTTTTTTGGCATTGTTAGGTCGTCACTCTTGTTTCCTTTGCTGTACAGAAGCTTTGTAATTTGACATGATCCCACTTACTGACTTTTGGTGTTATGTTTTATACAACTGGGGATCTGTTCAAAAAATCCTTGCCTAAGTCTATGTCTTCAAGAGTTTTACCCATTTTATTTTCTCAATTTTAATATTTAAGTCTTGGAGGCCGAGTGTAGTGGTACACAGCTGTAATCCCAGCACTTGGGGGTGCTGAGGCAAGTTTGAGCCCAGTGTGAGCTATAAGCTGCATAGAGAATTTGAGGCCAGCCTGAACTACAGAGCAAGACCCTGTTGCAAAAAAAAATAATTGTTTAAATCTTTGATCCATTTTGATTTAGTACATGGTGAGAGAGATGATCTAGATTCAATCTTTTGTATATAGACAGCTTCTTTAACAAACAGTGCTGGGAAAACTAGCTATCGTAACCTTTTTTTGGTGCCTTTGTCAAAGATCAGGCAGCCGGATGTGCTTGGATTGTTTCTGTGTCGTCTTCTGTCTCACTGATCCACGTCTCCCCATCCCAGCAATACCATGCTGTTTTTATCCCTGCAGCTTTGTAGTACAACTGAAAGTTCAGAATTATGATTCTTCCTGCCTTGCTCTTGTTCTCCAGAATTACTTTTGCTATCCTAGGTCTCATCTGTTTCCATACAAACTGTAGGATTCTCTAGTTTGTGAAGAATGCTACTGGTATTTTGGTTGAGACTTAGTTAAATCTGTGTATAGCCATTTTGGTTACATTAGTCTGCCTACCAGGCATAAAAGAAGGCCTTTTCTGATACCGTTTGATCTCTATTTTCAGAGTAACACAGCTTTCATTGTGGTAGTCTTTCACTCACTCGGTTAAACAGGTATTTTTTTCTTGATGCTGTGAATGGAATTGTTTCCCTAATTCTTGTGAGTTTATTATTGGTGTGCAGGAACAATACTGACTGTTGTGTTGACTTTTATCCTGCTAAGCTACTGGATTTGGTTATTCTAAGTGCCTTTTGGTGGAATGTGTGGGTCTTCTATGTAGAGGAGCATGTCATCTGTAAATGATAATTTGACATCTCCCATATATATATATATATATTCCTTTTTATATATATTACATATATAAAATATATATATATATATATATATATCTCCCTTTTCTTTCCTTTGCCTCATTGTTCTGTTATTAGAATTATACTGAACAGAAAGCATACATCTTTTGCATGTTCCTGATTTTAGAAAGCTTTCAATTTGTCCCCGTTTAATATTTTGGTCATTGGTCTGTCATAGATGTTTTCTATCACATTTAGGTAAGATCCTTCTCCATTGTTTTCAGTTTTTATCTTAAGTGGATGGACTTTGTCAAAGGCTTTTTCAGTGTCAATTGATATGATCATGTGATTTATCAATGTTCAGGTAGTTCCCTCTTTTGGATGGATCCTTTTCTGCTTTTGGAGTCATAACGATGCTAACTTTCAGCAAAGTACTTTCTAAAGTACTTTCCCTTTCATTAAGTATTGGTGTTAGGTCTTCCTTGAAGTTCTTGTAGAATTCAGCATTAATCCATCAGGACCTAGGCTTTTCTTAGCTGGTAGGTTTTTTTTTCTTCTTCCATTACCTGGGATCAAACTGGAGACCTTGCGTTTGCAAGTGTTGCAGGCGGTGGAACCAGCTGGTAGTTTTTTGTTGTTACTACCTTTTCATTCTCGTCCCCTGAAATGATTCAAGGATTGATTCATTCCTTTTCTCTAACAGCTGTTAAGATTTTGTCCCATGTTGGACTTCTAGAATTTTGACTCTGATATGACATGGAGATTCTTTTGATCATGGCTATTTAAGGTTTTATGTGCTTTATTACTTTTCTGTATGTTTTAACTGTTTACCGGTATTTTGGAAAGTTTTCTATTGTTTCTGTAAACAGGTTTTAGTGCCATTTTGCTGTCTTCTGATTTTTCACTAATTCCAATGAATCTTAGTCTTGTGTTTAGCATTTAGCAGCTGCTGAATCCATTTTTCATGGGTTTTTTTTATTTTTAGTACTGGGAATCGAACTCGGGACCTTGTACTTGTGAGGCAGGCATGGTGCCACTGAGCTAAATCCCCAGCACTCATGTTCTGTTGTTTTTAAAGTCTCTGAGTAATTAATCTTTGAAAGATCCTTATCTTCTAATTCTGCTATTTTGTCCTCATATTACTTTTGCTGTGCATACTTTCAGTTTTCTAGATTTGTGTTTAGAATCTTTTCATGGACTTTATTTTCTAAACTGGTCCTTCATGTTTTGTATCATTTTTATTAGCTCAGCTTTTTGTTCAGTGTCTTACTCTAAGCTCTGTATTATTGCCTCCGTTATCTTGTATTTTCTGTGAGCCCACCAAGCATGTCACTGATCTGTTTTAAAATCTCCTGTTATCCTTTCAAATAACTCGGCTGTGTGGCTTTTGCTTTCCTCCAGTGGTTCACTGGTTGGCTTTGGGGGAGTTGGGAAGCATTTTGTTGCCTTGTCTTCTCATGGTTTTTGCTTGTTTTGTGCTTAGGTATGCAACTGGTTATAGTGGAAAGGTGTTGTTAGTATGGAAATACTTTATTCTGCTTTTCAGTGAGGCACTCAAAGGCATGGCTACCTATATTCCTTTGTTTCTGTCCCAAGATCCAATCACCCCTGTTAATATGGGAAGCAGGGAAGATAGGATAAATGGGCCCTGCATCCAATTCCCTGTCTGGATTGGAGAGGCTGAATTTTGCTACCATTCATCATTCATTTTCTTTTTCTGGAAATGTGGATTTTACCAGCTGTTTTAATGCCAGCTGTAGTCAGTATTCTGTTAACTTTTAACTATTCTGGATCACGCCAATTAATTAGTAAAACAGGTTCATAAAAGTGGATTGTGAATAGACATTCAAGGATTAAGGGGAGCTTGAAAAGGGATCCCTGAGGTTCCAAAGTGACTCAAAACTCGTCTGAGGACCAGCATGGTTGGCATTTTCCAACCTGATGCTGCTCTGCACGCTACTCTCTAGATTTTTGTACCCAACAGCCTCAGTGAAGACCCTAAGCTTTACATAAGGACAATCAGGAAATGGTTACTAAAACAGGCAACACGAGAAATTTCCCCAGCATTCTCTAAGGTTTCAAGTAGAGGAAAAGAATACCATAGCTCTGAAGCTGGTGACAATATCTTGGTCCCTGCACGACCAAGTGTCCAAGTGAAACTACCAACCTGAAACCAAAATGAAAAGCGTGACACTACATAAGCATCCTGAACTTTCTGCAATTAACTTGAATACATGAACAAAAGGGGGAAAGAAATGAAATACGTCCAAGGTCTATAAAATGAAAATATTAGTAAAGCAACTATTTCCTTCTTAAATGGAGCATGTTAAAGTCTAATGAAATTACAAAATTCACTTTAAAAGACTACTATTAAAATAATTGCTGGGGCACTCTACCTTTTGTCATGATGGTTCAAACAAATTTACAATAATTCTTTTAAATTACCTTTGGAACTAAATGAGCAAGCATACATTCTTACTTTATGATCATTTTTCTGGGAAGTTAAACAATACTCTTCATATGAGTAACTCATCAACCTGCCTCCAAACCTGACTGAGAATCCCTAGCGGTGTGGGTGCAGTGGTCTGCTGCTGTAGTCGCAGCTACCTACGAGGCTGAGACCGAAGGATCCCTTAAACTGAGGAGATCAAGGTCAAGGCCAGCACAGACAAAATAGCGGGTTCTGTCTTTTAATAAAGTTCCTCCCAAGCATGATACGCCTGTAAACCTTGCTACTCAGGTGCCTAAGATTGGAGGATCGCAAGTTCATGGCCAGCCTGGTCAATTTAGAGACCCTGTCTCAAACCAAAAGAAAGGCTAGGGATGTAGCTCAGTGGTAGAGCACCCCTAGATTCCATCTCCAGTACAGGGGGCAGGGCCAGTCCCTATTTAATAATTCCAGTGTTTACCTATATTACTGTTTTATTGCATAAAAATTTAAAGATTCTAATACCTAGCCAGTGCTTAACCCTGAAGCTGAATAAACTTCCCATCCCAATCTTTATAGTCTTTTATCCACTGCAAATGATAAGTGGACTGGGCTGTATCAGTAAGTGGAATCACTGTGCCACAGTATCACACCAGTGGATGACACGGTCTCTCTCCTTACCTCCACTTGACTAAAGCAGTAAACACAGGCAGGCCCATCGTGAGGCACTCTGCTCCAGTCTTCTGTGTGTGCATGTGCACATGTCTGTCACATCTGTAGGTGATTTTATAGATGTATGCCAGGACAGTAAAATGCTCTGTTAGGTATTTGGAAATCTGTGACATAAAAGCCTAGAGAAAATTCATGTGCATAATTTCTTTCCACTTTCTAAAAAATAAGTGATATCATCTGTCATTTCTTTTAAAGCAAAAACTTGTAAAGTTTTACATTACAAGTTTGGATCTTCTTCCACCTAATTTCCTGAAGCCAATCTTTACTTACCAGTGCACATTCCATAAGTAAATGAAATCCTCCACAGGCTCCTTCCTTTGCTCAAATTCACTGCTTTTTTTTTTTTTTTTACATGCACAGCATGCTCTTTTCAACAGTGCCCCGGGAGCCCAGGGACAGCTGAGACCCATTCTCCTAAAGTTTTACAATACTCCACAGACATATTTACAAAGTGTTACCTGAAAATACCAAGAAGCTGCAGGACACTTCATTGGTGTGCAGTCTGTTACATTCACTCCACAGTAAAAATTATTTTTTCCTCAGGTTCTGGTTAGAAAGGATGTGGGTTTGAGTCAACAGAGCCACTAGCCTTTTCCTTCCCTTCCTCACAGGCCACAGCCACTCTACAAGTGCAAACCAAAAGACCTCAGTGCATAAGTGGATGGAGTCTGAGCACAGAAACTCAAGTTTTGATTGCAAGGTACTTCCTGGGATTAAGTAAAAGCTACCACAAACCAGCCAGCTCCTGAGGTTAATAGTGGTAATGAAATAAACATTTTCGACTTGGGCTCATGTTGTGCTTGGTGTGCTAACAATGCAAGCAAAACATGAAATGAATGTAAATTTTAACAAGCCAGTCTTGAGCATTAGGCTTCTCATTAGTGCGCCTTTCACAAGTGTAATATGTACAATTGCCCACAAGAGGGCAACCATTTCCCTCAGCAAAAAGATACTGCTTGAAAGTACTGTATATATACAGATTTAACCACATTGACATCTCTCACCAGTAGAATGGATATAATTTTTTAAAAAGACAATGCCAAATGTCAGAATGAAGAGAAACTGGAAAATATTTTGCTGGTGGACATATAATACAATAAAACCACTTTGTATAATAGTTTGGCAGTTTCCTTAAAAAATTAAAACCAAGTTACCATAAAAGCTAGCAATTCCTCTTGCATGAACCAAGATAATTGAAAACATGTTCACATTAAGAATGTTCATGAACACATCACAGAAAGCTACAAAATGGCACCAATTCAAATGACTGTCACTGGCAAAAAACAATGTGGTATGGAATACTCCAAGGGCAAACTTACAGACAGCTGGTCAGTAGTTGCCCAGGACGCAAATGGTCAGAGAGAGGAGGGACTCGCTACACAAGAGCTCATGGAAATTCCAGAGGGAAGGTGAAATGTTCCAAATCTGGATTCTGGTAATGTTGACGTAACTGCAAACTTACTGAATCCCCAACTGCACTGAGGGGGGGGGGGGCTTTATATAAATTATACCTCAGTAAAACTGACCTCAAACCACATTGAATGCATTTGACTACATACTGGGAAATGAGATTAAACAAGTGAAAACAAGAAAGCAAACCAGAGCATGGTGTGTTAAGGATGTAGAACAAACAGCCACTGTGTCATTCAACCCCAAGCTCTGGTTTTCAGATAGAGAAAAAGATCACTGTTTGCAAATGGACGGGGAAATCAGGGAATTTATTGGTCAGGTAAGAATTTCATTACTCTTGGCAAACAGCCATTACATTAAATAGAAACATTTGTTTTAAAAAGATAAGCTGTAAAGTTTTAGGCCAAAGTAATTATTTTCTGAATCTACATCAATTCTTCAGAGCCATATTTATGAAAGGATTTGTAGCACATCAATGTACTAAGGGACTGATATTAGCTAGTAACTGTTAGGCACTTTTAACCATATCAACTTTCAAATGAAAACCAGGGTTTTGATATTTGAGATATTCAGGGCAAAGGCAGACACTTGAAGTGACAGGCATATAGATCCCAAGTAATCTTGTTAGTGGAACTATTGTTTTATAAACTAGTTTAAATTTATAATATATCAAAAAGCTCATTCTCAACTTCAAAAAGGATCTAGTGACACCTAAGTAAATGATTAGTTAAGACAAAACTATCTTTTCCTTTGGCTTCTCAGTGATGAAAGGTAGCTTGAAGATATCTCTCCCACAGTCTCGTTTCCTAAACTATAAACAACATCCTTTGAAATGCTTGCCAGGCTCTCAGAAAAGCAGGGCCATCTCCAAGTGCCCACATTTGAGCTGGTACCCGAGCGAAGTGGGAAAACTCACACAGGAAAGCCAAGACTATCCTAAGGCAAAGGTCTTGATCAACACCAGGACTGGGAAACAAAGCTCTGGACCCTGAGCAAAGGGAGAAGCCTGCAAGAGAGTATACTGTCCAAGTCAGTCTCGTTCCCTGGCTTACAGAAGCAAATGCAAAATTCTTCTGACTGAGGATATTCCCAATTAGAAACTATTATTTCCAAATTCAGTTAAGTATGTCTATGCAACAAAAATCACCAAATACAAGAATGACATGTACTTAGTTCAGAGATAAACAGATTTAGACTCTCAAAGACTTTAGATACTGGAATTATTGACTATATATAGGATATAAATATAACTGTATAAAATATCCAAAGAAAAACCAATAAAAATTAATCAGAAATGACCAAGCACATCTAAGAGAATAAAATGGGGCTTTTGGAAATTATAAACATGGTAACTGAAATAGAAAATTCATTGTACCAAGCTGAAGGTAAAATTAGTAAATCATAAAACAGTTTAAAATGTCAAGATAAAACAATATTCAGATTCCTTGGCTGAAATTTTCAGAAAAAGCTGTATCAGAAATAGAATCACAATGTATACTAGTGGAACAAATACACAGAATGCCATATATAGACAGAAGTAGTGAAACTACACGTCAGAACAGAGGGAAAAAATTCTCCAGGAAGGAATTAGCAGGTAGCTTGATACGTTTCTGCCAGCTTGAACCCCGAATGGAACACACGACTGTCCCATGGCAGTTTGTATCATTGTTGGTACAAGTGGTATAGCCACGCATGCGACAGTCATGGTTCAAGCTCCCTGGCAGTGAGACATATGAGTTATAGACCATTTTTTTTTCCAGTACCAGGGCTCAAACTCAGGACCTTGCATTTGCAAGGCAGGCATGGTGCCGCTGAGCTAAATCTCTAGCCCTTTTATGGTTCTGTTGTGAACATGTTAAACAAAGAACAGAACAAAAGTTCTTAAGACAGAAAAAAGACATTTAGAAATACTGTTTTATTTTAAAAAATAAAGTGAAATGATAAGCCAGAAACAAGGTATGTGCAAGACCAACAAAGGACAAGAAGAAGATTAGCATCCTGAATGCTGTCAAGAAGCCCTAAGTAAATAAGGGGAAAATAAACAAAAGGCAGGAAGTAACCCACAGGGTGCTGGGGATGCAGTTCAGTGGTGGTGCACTTGCCTTGTATGCTCAAGGTCCTGAGATAAGTCCCACCACTGCCCCCTAAAATGTATTTCACAAGAGAAACAGGAACATGAAAACATGTTCAAAAATCAGGAAAATGCAATATAAAGTCACACTAGCACTTAACACCTACTATATTGGCAAGAATTAGGTGTTACAGTATCAAGTGAATGAGAAGTCATATTGTGAATAGGTACGACTATTTTGGCAAACAACTCCACCATTATCTTATAAAACTAATAAAATTGATCAAGCATATAGCTTTAAAAAAAACCACTTTGCTTTGAGGTATATGCTCTGAAGAAAACTCATGGAAGTGCACAACAAAAAATCGTATAAATTCATTTCATCATCATAAAGACAAAGTGAAAAACCACCCAACAATATAAACTGTAATGAGCTGTGGATCCTGAACAAGGCAGTTATGTCTCTAAACACATAACTATAAAATGCAGAATTAAAGAGCAAAACTTTTATAAAGCTACTGGTATTTAAATAATGATAGTCAATACTACCCATTTCTATTACTGAAATTTAAGTAACTCTTGGGTTTAGGGGTGTTAGGACTTCGATTAGCATGACCCCCAGTCTCATGTGTTCAGAGGTGGGGCTTTGGGAAGATGACTGGATCCTGGGCACTAGGATATGACTTGGAAGGTACTGTACTCTAGTCCAGTGATGGTAACTTTTTAGAGCTTTCAATAACAGCCCACTGCCGCATGCTGTAGGCTCACCACCACCGTATCTGGTGTCTAGCTCCTCCCCTCTCTGCTTCCTGGCTGTCATGGGTTGAGCCCCTTTCCTCCACCAGGCCCTTCCACCAGGCTGTTTCTGCCTGGTCAGAACATGGACAGCTGACCATGGACCGAATCCCCTAACCTCCCCCACTTTAAGGTGTGGGTATCAGGTATTTTGTTCCAGCAACACGAAAGCTAATACACGGTACAGCTTAGTGGTACAGTATGTACTCAGAATGGGTTCAATCCCCAGCACCAAAAAGGAAAAAGGAAAACTCTTCCACTCCCCCACTAGATTCAGATACAAACTGGTAATAAAATTAGGTACAACTCCAAGAAATTCTGGAGACGAACCCAGTGGGGTCCATAGGAAACTGACTAGAATGACGCGAGTATTTACACTGTACCAAGGTCGTCATCTTACCTCATCAAGGTGAAAATGTCACCACCGTCTAGACAGCTGCACGTGGTGATGGCGGGAGATTTTTGCTGTTTCTGCATTCTGCGATAGGTTGGTTCAGTAACACATGCAACCTTAACAACACAACAGCACCCAGAAGTTTTACATTCAGACAAGGTTCTTCCTGAAAAAGGTTTCTATACCCTTCTTCCACTTACGTGCTCATGATGATTTTCTAAGTCTTTCCTTTAATTGTTATTTGAAGACATTTGGCCATGGAGGAAAACCTTCATTCTTTGAGGGTAGATTTCATCCACTGACTTGTCTGATGAAAAAAAGCACACAGATCCATAATCAAGTTGAGACTCTGGCCATAATCAAGACCAGGATGAGGCTAATTCTCATGAGTAACTTTACAATGGTTATCCTCAGAGAAGAATTTTAGCAAAGCTTTTAGTAATGGTAATGCTGCTTTAGGAGAAAAACCACAGCCACTCAAGATTACTACTTGGAAGGACAACACTCATCTTAATGTCAATGTGGAACATCATTTCTGGATAGTACAAATTCAAAATCAGTGAAGACACAGTTGTTTAAGAGTAATGAAACTATTTTCATCAGTTGCCTTTACAGCATAATTTCTGTAAATGTAACGAAAAAAAACTTTTATTTTCAGCTAAACATAAATATCTTTCTTTTTTGTTGTTGTTGTTTTTTTTGAGACAGGGTCTTTCTTTGTAGTGCAGGGTGGCCTTGAACTCACAGCGATCCTCCTGCCTCTGCCTCCTGAGTGCATGGATTACAGATGTGAGCCACCACACCTGTCATAAAGGAAAAAATGTTACAAGCAAACTACTAAACCAAATTTGTATTCGAGGGATAGAGAACAATTACATAGTTTTGAAAGGCTTCTATAACAGCAATCAAGTAATGAGAAGCAAAGCTACACAGACCTTACAGACAATTCCTGTTAGATATGTGTATATATATATATATATACTGAGATCTATCTATCTATATATAATATATGGATTTTAATTATTGAAATTAGTGTTTGGTAGTAAATATGATTATTTATTATTTAGATGTGCCAAAGTATTATGACAGTAGTTTATCAATGGTTTTAAGAAAATACAGAGAAATTTTATCATCACTTCTGACCCCACATAAAAAGGAAAAGAGCACAGCCAAGGTTAGCCCAATAATAATTTTTTAAGTCTTCTTTGAGAAACCATAAAAATATTCTTAACTGACAAATACGATTTAGATTCCAATGTATTTTCTATTACAGGAAAACAACAACAACAACAAAGAAAATCTCCAGTTTACCATTTTAAAAAGTACTTTATACAATATCAACAATCTCCTATCTAGGCCTTTGACAGCATACAAAGTTCATTTGGAAATTGAGTGTAATAGTTCTTAGCGGCAGTACAAAGCTTATGCAAAAAGTTTAAAATATAACCCATTAGTTATACAGGAATATAGTAAAATTGTTTTAAAGTAGCAGCACAATACAGTAAAGTGGTAGCTTTAATGACTACATGAGAGAATTACACAAAAGAATCTAGAAATATTTCTTGAAGAAAATACGATACAAGGCCAGAGGCTGAGACAAGAGGATCACCTGATCCCAGGAGTTTAAGGACTGCCTAGGCAACATGGCAAGACCCTGGCTCAAAGCAAATGAAAAAGAAAAAAAAATAAAAGGAGAGCGAGAGGATATAAATTTATACATTTCCACCATTTCTTTTCCATTTATCATTTCAGTATTTTAGCTCTATTTTACATCGAGTTTTTGGTAGGTGCGGTTATCACTGGAGGTCACAGTGACGCTGCAGTCATGAATCACCTTCTCTGACCATCTCACAGCTTTGTTCCCAGGAGTATCGGCATCTTTCAGCTGCACCTACTGTCAGCCTGATTCTCACTTCCTATCTGCAAGTGTTTCTGCCCAACAGAGACTGCATACTAACGCTGCTATCCATACATAATGTCAGACAGCCAAGTGTTCCCTTTACTTCACTGTACTTACGCATATCTCATATTCTGTGGGTGACTAGGGTACCAGTGTAGTATGTTAGATGACTAGTGTACCACAGAAGTCAGAAAGAGAAATGTAACACACACATTTACACACACAACAGGCAGATACAAGTGAGAGGGGAAAACATTTTAAGTGATCACAGGAAACAGTAAGATCCTCACCCCTGAAAATAAGCATAACACATACCAGTAACCGTAGCCAGACACGCACTATAATACCAGAACTTCATCAGAGATGAAAATAGACAGTGAAAGCCAGGTTTTGCAATTCACGCTCCACATTCAGCCAGCTATAGCTGGTCCAGCCAATGCTTGTGTGAGTAACTTGAACATGGTTATAGTTAAACTAGAGAAACCTGTTACATAACCAGAAATGACTCAGGAACTTGCCCACAGGCCAAGAGTAGAAAAGACATCATGATTAAGAACTTTGAAATTTGCTTCATGAAGTACATTTGCCAGCTTGAGCCCTCTTGAATTTTTTAGCTCTTTTTGGTTCTGTATGCCTGATAGCTAGCTTTTGGAATGTGGCATTTTGCCCTTCTGCACTGACAAGTTCAGTCCCCATTTAATCAGGAACCTCAGGAATGGATGGATCGAGTAATCTTTCCCTGGCTGGCTTCCTTGTGCATGAGGTAACAGTAGTAAACTACAACAGATTCTATGGTACAAAGGAAGGAAATTTTAGGAAAGCCTGGAAGAGGGATTCCAAACTGCATAGAAAATATAAAATAAGATAGTTTAGTGTTCTTAATAAATATTTTTAAAAGTATATAAAAATAATGAATAGGTCATTTTATAATGCTAGTTAAAACAAAGAAGGGCTGTAATATCAGTTGGTTTATCAAAACCATGGGCTTCAAATTACTTTGTAGAAATATTGTCAATTAAACTGCAATAAATACACTGGAGGATATTAAACATAATGAGAAAAAAACATTTTCCACCTTCCTCTGTCTTTACCAACACGTCTCATTAGTTAATGACGGACTTGAAATAATCAGTAAACTAGTCAATGTAGAGTTTTGATAAAAATGCTTTCATTTTCTGATAACAAATAAATGTAGATCTGTACAGTCAGAAAAACCAGGATGGTGGAAAATAACAAAATAGGAAGGTAATAAATCCTGGATTCAAAATCAAGTAAGTCAAAGAAGAGGGGTAAAGATAGCTTCAGCTTTCCCTTGTAGGGCAACACATAACTGGCACCCTGTCAAGGCCTCCCAGCTGGACACTGGGATGACAGCACCTCTAAAGCCTTCTCTAGTATTTCCTCTGGTTCATTTTTTTGCATGAGATAGGAAAAATAAAACAACAAAAAAAAAAAAACGTGGATTTGTTCAGACATAATTAGCACAGCCAAGTCTTTTGGTATCCTAGCAATTCTAATTGAAATCAAGGCCTGCACCAGCTTCCAAGAATGCAGCCAACTGGCACTCAGACAAAACTGTTTTTCTACTTTTGGAAATACCTAAGAAAGTGAAATCAACACCTAGAGAAAAAGCAAGATATAACTTTAGCAGCACCAAGGAGAAATTATTTTCAAGAGGAGTATGTCTCTTGTGTGTCAATGCATAGGTTCTAATCTTTGCTCTGGAAGAATCCACTACCCAAGGCTAATACCTATAAACAAAGGAAAAGTAAAACTCAACAAATTTCATTGGGATTGATCCAAATTAACAGAGACTTCAAGGTTTTGGCACTACTTTAAACGTTTTTTCCAGAGTAGGTATGGTTTCAAGTTAAACTGTCTTCCATCCCCATTCCTTTATTTACTAAAGCAGAAAGTACGAAATTTAACAGCATGACCAAAAATTCTTCAGCTATCATTCAAAAAGCTGTACTTAGTCACAATACTACAATTAACATTTACATAAGTCTCTGGTTGTCGTTAAAATTCAAAGGGGGTCATATCCAAATCCAGGCTGCCTTTCTTGCCCATCAGATGTGACAGAGTCGGTGGTGCCTGGCACTCTAATCACATACAGTCAACCACGTTGTTGGACCCATGGCCTACGTCCCGAATCTGGCTCGTCAGACAGGAACACACAGCAACGCCTGCTCCAGCTCTGCAGTGAGACACAGAGCCCACCAGCTCCCACCTGGAAAGACAGAGGACAAACAGCACTTTCTTAAAACCAACAGATAAAGACCCCCTAGGAAGGAACTGCTTTTGAAAGGTAGCAAGCTTCCAGAGGGAGATAAAGAACAGTAACCCTAAGTTTGTATTAAGTACAACTTCAGTACAATATCCCTCATTTTATTTTTCAGTTTCAGTTACCTGTAGTCAGCCCTAGTCCAAAGATATTAAATGGAAAATCCCAGAAAAAAAATTAATAAGTTTTAAATTGCATTCTGTTGTAAGTGGAGTGATAAAATCTCATGTGTCCTACGCTGTCCTGCCTGGAACACAAATCTGCCCTTTGTCCAGCACACACAGGCCGGTAACAATGCTACCTCCTTAGTACCTTGGTGATCATCTCAGCTACCACACTGGCCGTGGTGCTACTGCACAGATGTGTTCAAGCAACCCTTACTTTACTTAATAATGGTCCTAAAGTGCAAGGACAGTGATGCTGGCAGCTTCACTACAGTTCAGTACTGTTAGAATTTCTCTATTACTAGTCATCTCATTTAATCTTTTTCTGTGCCTAATTTATGAGTTAAGCTTTATTGTGGTATCTACTAAACCCGGTGCTATCTGTGCATTCAGGCATCCAGTGGCGGTGATCTGGAACACACCCCGTGGAGAAGGAAGTGTTGCGCTCTCTCTCTCTCTCTCTCTCTCTCTAGTATCTCTTACTAGAATGTCCCAATGAAGCATAGAAATAATGTGCAAATCACCTATTCAGCACCGGATCAAAGGCTTCTACTGTGTTCAAGTACGCGTTGCCGTTGTGACCTCCGACTGCGAAGATTTTGCCCATCACAGTGGCGATCCCCACCCCACCCCTGGGAGTGGTGAGTGTGGCCACATAATCCCACTTGTTGCTGCGAGGGTCGTACCGCTCAACTGAACTCAGAGGAGAGTTGTCATCAAAACCACCTAGAGAAACAAATTATAAAATAGTGTAACACTGCATAACAATTAACCACAGGGCTGGGGATTTGGCTCAGTGATTTCACCACCTGACTCATGAGCACAAGGTCCCAAATCTGATCCCTGCTACAAAAAAAAAAAAAAAAAAACCAACCAAAAAACCAATTAACCACAAAATCTCCATTTGATAGCTTCTAAACCCAATCTTTTAAAACCATTATAGAATAGTTTAGAGAAAATTAGAAAAAAAAAAGGTTCATCTCAAAACCATTCTACTGCTACCACCACATGCTAATAGATCTTTTCTACAATTTAACTTAAGATATTTTAATTGGTACTTTACCTCAATACTAGGATAAAAAATCATACAGTGGGAAAACATGAAGTCTCTATCTTTAAGCAGAGACTTTAGAAAAAAGGAAAAAAAAGCAGTCATTCATACAATTTGTCCTCAGGAACAAACAGGACTGATTTTTTTTCTCCACGTGTTATGTTTTTAAACAGTAAGAAGGTTTAAGAAGAGAACTTGTTAAGTTTCCCAGTTCTTCCCTTAACACTGTTATTGCCAGCATAACTAGAGACAGTAGACTCTGACTGAAATTTTATGAAGTTTTGCCAAAATCTCATCTTTTTCCCATGTATTCTTTTCTGTAGTACATACATTCTAATAATACATTTAATATACTCCTGAGGGCTAAATGTAGGCTGTTATTCTAGTAGTGCCCACCCTTTTTAGGCTTTTTCTTGTCTAAATGAATAATGGCTGTCTGTGGTGACTCAGCCTACTCTCCCAAGAAAACGAAGTGCTGATATTATAATCAGTTTCTTTAAACACAGGGCAGCAAAACAAACAAATGTAAAACTTCTCTACTGGGTTTAATTTTATTTAATTAACTGAACTGAAATAAAGTTTCTCAATTTTATATGCTTAATATGATGAATTCTGACAAATGTATACTGTAGTATCACCTCAACTAAGTTTTGCTTTTTGTTTTGGTTTGTGAGATAGGGTCTTGCGATTTATACAGTCTTGCTAATTTTGCCCAGACTGGCCTCAAGCTTACAATCCTCCTACCTCAGCCTGCTGTGGGCTGCTATTACAGACATGCACCACCACGCCCAGCTTATCACACTATGATATAAAACAATTTTTCATTATAATAAAGAATTTAGTTTTAATTATTGCTCATGTTAATGTAGAAGATTAAGTTTTCAGTAGCTTTTCTCCTCCTAGGGCTGGGGATTGAACAAAATAGTCCAATTTTTATAGCCTTTCTCACTGTTTCCATATGACTTTCCTAGATAGTACATATAAATTTGTAGTAATAAAAAACTCAAGAGCCAGGTGTGTTGGTGCACACCTGTAATGCCAGCACTTGGGAGGCTGAGCCAGGTGGATAGTTCAAAGCTATCTTGGGCTACACAGTGAGTTCAAGGCCAGCCTGAACTGCCTCAAAAAAAAAAAAGAAGAATTCAAATTCAAGGCAGGGCCGGTAGAAGACATCTCCAACATGTACTTGGCCCCACAGGCATGGGTTCAATCCCTAGCAAAGGAAAAAAAAAAAACAAAACAAAAACCCTGAATTTAAGACAGGAAGAAAGACAATAGAATACAAGGACTGTCAGACATGCATGTGCCTTGTAAGGCAGGCGCGGTGTCATGGAGCTAAATTCCAGGCCCCAAATTTTTGTTTGCTTGTTTTGCAGTACCAGGGGTCAAACTTAGTAATCTTTCACTTTTGAGGCAGGCGCAGCACCTGAGCTAAATTCCTGGCCCATTTTTCTACTCAAGTAAGTTATGACTGTTTCAAATAGGATTTGAATGGCCAAAAAGGTTTTTCAATGTTTAACCTGAGTTGTCCTTATTTTTTACATGTTACTAATCACAATATTTGACACATTCGTTGGCAAACCACAAAGTGTTAGACACAGTTTAAGATGCTTAGCATATTTTGCCTTTAATTCTTTTCTTTTTTTTTTTGAGACAGGGTCTCACTATGTAGTTCAGACTGACCTGGAACTCACTATGTAGCCCAGGCTGGTCTCGAACTCACAGCGATCCTCCTGCCTCAGCCTCCCGAGTGCTGGGATTACAGGCGTGCACCACCACGCCCGGCTCTTTTAATTCTTAAAATAATTTTTTGAAAGGCTGGGGATGGTGACACACCTGTGTCCCAGCACTCGGAGGCTGAGGGTTTAAGATGACTGCTGAGAGTTCAAGGCCAGCCTGAACTACATAGCAAAACCTTGTCTCAAAAAATAAAACAAAACAAAACTGAAAGACAGGCATTCTCATTCCCATCTCGTAATTATTTGAAGCTTTGCTACTAGAAATATGGTTAGTCTGGAACATGCTAAAAGCAGAGTCTGGACCCTCCTTGGCAGGACCTTTCCAGGTTATTCACACATATACTAGAGTTGGGGAAAGCATTGCTCTAAAGTTCCTTCCAATTCAGCATATCACTTAAGTCAATCAAAAAGCAACATGAAAACTGGCATAGTCTTTATTCATATAAAAGAGCTACTAGCTCACTGGTGTTAAGTTTAACTGTATCAACTTGACTGGCTCAGGAGCTAAGGCATTAGTAAAGCAAGTTATTCCCTTGTTCTGCTTCCTCACCTCCGTGACCTAAGAAGCTTTGCTCCACCAGGGCCTTCTACCAAGTTTCTGCATTGGAGCCCGTGACCATGTACTGAACCCCTGAAACCATGAGTCAAACTAAACTGTTCCTCCTCTAAGTTGTGGGTGTTAGATACCATGTCCCAGCAAGGATAAAGCAAACAGTTTTCAACATAACTGTCTTTGAAACGAAGTAGAGAAAAAGTTTTAGACCTTGTAAGAGCTATTTCAGCAAAACACATTCAGTTTACCTTAACAAATATATGTTTCATTTAAATGCAATCCCATGCATTAGATATATTTTCTTACCCTTAGAAAAACATCGAGGCCGAAATTTTAAATATGGGACAAAGAGCTGTCCAAAAAAATAAGTATGGGTATTAACTTCAAGAATTCAAAAGTACCAACTGGGCACAGTGGTGCACACCTGTAATCCCAGAAGCCAAGGAGGCTGACACAGGAGGATCACAAGTTTAAAGCCAGCTTGGGAACCTTAGTGAGACCCTGTCTTAAAATCTTTAAAAAGGACTGTAACTACAGGTCAATGCTTCCTGGGTTCTGGGTACTCAGAATACAAAAAAAAAAGAAAGAAAAAAGAAAAAAGAAAAAAAATTTCAAAAGCATATCTCAGGACTGATTCCACTAAAGGTTAAATGTAATATACTAATATAATTTTTGGTGTTGTGCTATCTTATGATACTTCTCAGTATAGATCCTGATATATTAAACTAAACACTGGCCACTCACCAACAACATATAAGCAGCCATGAAGCTCACTGACTCCATTGCCAGCTCGTCGTTGACCCATTTCTTTAACTTCTATCCACTTATCCAGATGTGGATCATATCTCTCCACACTAGACAAAGAAGCCACTCCATCATTGCCACCTACTGCGTAAACATGGCTCTGGAGGAAGAAAAACAAAACATTCAGCATTAGAATCTGAAGTGCTTCAAAAAAAAAGAAAAAAAAGAAAAAAGAAAAAAAATTTCAAAAGCATATCTCAGGACTGATTCCACTAAAGGTTAAATGTAATATACTAATATAATTTTTGGTGTTGTGCTATCTTATGATACTTCTCAGTATAGATCCTGATATATTAAACTAAACACTGGCCACTCACCAACAACATATAAGCAGCCATGAAGCTCACTGACTCCATTGCCAGCTCGTCGTTGACCCATTTCTTTAACTTCTATCCACTTATCCAGATGTGGATCATATCTCTCCACACTAGACAAAGAAGCCACTCCATCATTGCCACCTACTGCGTAAACATGGCTCTGGAGGAAGAAAAACAAAACATTCAGCATTAGAATCTGAAGTGCTTCATACAGGGCACTAATGGTACACTGGTCAGCAGAGCAGCTGCAGCATATGGAATAACAAAGCATCCGGGCAAGATGTGCGTGTGATGAAATGAGCAACAGCTGCCAGTGCATGTGGGCAGGCTGGCCAGTCACTCACCACGAGAGCCACGGAGCCAACACCTCCACGGGGAGTGTTCATCGGGGCCACCACACTCCACTGGTCAGATTCAATGTCATATCTCTCCACGTCATTGAAGCAAGTGTTGTCATCCAACCCCCCAATGGCATAGATTGGGCCCCCCAAGGAGGCCAAGGCAATTCCTCGCCTGCAAAAGCAATAAAACACACTTTAGCATTGGGGATTGTTTCCAGGAAGCAAGAAGCAAAGAAAATTATGCAAATGCAAGTCACATTAACCTTCAGAATGTGGTCTGTTTGCATTGTTCTTAGATTCACTAAAGTGAACATAGACGCTCGGGTTGCCAAACTGTGTAACTTGAAGGGATCAGAGTATCCTAAGAAGGGATCACTCAGGACAATATGCACTCATTTTCAGTCTCCTTAGCCTCTTTCCTCTGGCGTGGAAAGCTATGACATTGAAAATACTGTGGTGTAAAACTGCTGGGTCTGTACAAACATGTGTGTTCTGCTCTAGAGCAGAATGGGGTTAAACGGGGGAGCAGTAAAATAAGGGTGCCTAACAATTCTTCCTGTGCCCCAGATCAGAGGATCTGGTGCCATCACTGGATACTTTATATACTTTTAAAATTCCTCAGGCTGGGATGTGGCTCAGTGGCAGAGTTCGTGCCTAGCATGCATGAGGTTTTGGGCTCAATTCCCAGTACTGCAAAAACAACAACAACCAGGGGCCAGGAATTTAGCTCAGTGGCACAGTGCATGCCTCACAAGTGCAAGCTCCTGAGTTCAATCCCCGGTACCAGAAGAAAACAAACAAAAAACCCAAAAACAAGAAAATTCTCTTGGTTTTCAGGAGGTCACGTATTTGATTTCCCTCCCACATTTGTAGCACATTTGTATTTCCTTCCCTTTTCAATGGCTTCCATCCTCCAGCACTAACTTACTAAGCTCCCTAAGGCTCTGGCCTAAGGCCTCCTGGCACTCTATATGCTCTTCTCCCTAAACAAGCGCATTCCTTCTGTAATGTGTAACAGCTCCAACAAACATCTGCAGATATACACTCACATTCTACCTCGAATCTGTTTTGCTGTAATCTGAAACGAAACCCACTGCCACTGGTAGAATTTTAAAATGCTCCCTTGCACGACCAACTGCTGGTGTTACCCCACAACTATGGTACACTAAACAGCAGAAGGGAGACTAGCTGGTGGGCCTAATCTTACCCCCTACAAGCACTTCCAGCCTGTAGTTAGGAACACAAAAAAGCTTTAGCATGCTGATGCTTGTTTGAAGATAGGGGACATGCGTAAAGGACCTGACAGTGCCCTTCCTCCAGCCAATGGCCTAAAAAAATGGCCCTGCACCACGAGGATCTGAATTCCATCAATGAAGTGAATAATCTGGAAGTGGCTCTGTCCCCAGAACCTCCAGTTAAGAGGCTAGCTCAGCCAACACCTGACTCGCCTTGCAAGAACAGAAGCCTAAGACTCCCATAAATCCACAAGGACTTCTGGGCTGTGCTAATACACGGGTGTTTTAAGCCACTAATTCTGTAGTAGTTTGCTAGACAGCAACAGACACTAAGCGCACCCACCCCACACAAATGTTATACTGTGCACTCTTAATTCAGTAAATATAACTACCCATCTGGATGCTTAAGACAGAAAGTAAAGAGCCATCCTTGCCTCTACATCATTCCACTCAAATTGGTTGTACACCTCGGAACGATCTCTCAAATATGTCCTTCCTCTATGTCAATTTCTGCCATTTTAGACTAAACCTCCATTACTTCTTGACTAAACAATGACTTTCTGGTCTGTCAGACTGTCTTCACTTTTGTCATCCTCAAATACCTCGTCCATTTTGTACACAGGTCTCCGAACACAGAAACCTGGTCCTATTTCCCTTCTAATTAAAATATAAACATACACATATGCATGCATACCCTCTGCAAAAACTCACCAGAAAAAAGGATGGCCGTTTGGAAGGCTCTCACCCTTGGCCTACGCTTTGACTTCATTTCCTGACTCTCTCTCCTGGGTCTCCATGCACAATGGCCTGGCTTTTTCCACGCTCTCTGCTCTCTTTCACTTCTAGGTCTTTGAAGGCCACCATCTCTTTCCACCCACTACCTGGACCTCAACTTTCAACCATCTACTGGGGTTGAGTTCTTCAATTCATGCAGACTAGTAGTTAAATGAGACCTCATTAAGATCCTCCCCATTTATGCGGCACCTTCTGCTTACCCCCTACTAATATTGCTTTCATATATATGATATATAGTGCCTTCATTTATATTTTCCCTTCCTGAATGTAAGCAATAGAGGGGCAGGAACTTTGGCTATTTTATTTATTCCTGGTAGCAGAAAAGGAAATGGTATCTTCACTAACTTGGTATGTCTTGCAGTAGGCATTTAACTTTTATTGTTGGATAAACAAATTGACACATAAACATGCTTTTTTGGGATGATGAGTTTCAATAAAAACATAGCTTGAACGAACATCAGGGTGCATTTGTGGAAAAATGAAAAGGGGAAGAAAAAAGAATGAACTATGTATTTACAAGCAAAAATTACGTTGAAATGTTTAATGAAAAGACAATTTGGAGCAATATAAATTCTAAGCAAATGATATGACCAAATAACTGGAGCTGTATTATTTTTACACAACAGTATAGCTACTGTAAATGTTTGGGATTTTAAAAGATTAAAAAAATTAAATTGCTATTTTGTTAAGGAAGTTTCATTCAATCATGTGACTAAAAACCAACCAAATAGTATAATAAAAAGGTAAGGGTATAAAGATTAAAAATGTACTTTGGGACTCCCCCCC